AACGAATTATTATGATCCATTCCATATTTATGGGGAATACTTGAGAGAAATCGGGCTAACTGGAACGAATCGCTGAACTGAAAAGCATGACGGTTTAACTATAGTATGTGACTAATAAACGTAAATAACTAATAGTGTAGCAAATTCTTTGTATCCAACATTAGCTCTACAAACATGTCAAAGTAGAAATTATCTTTATTCAAATAGACTTAATATAAGCAGTTTTGAATAGTCATATTTCTTTTATTCTACCACTTATTAGGAACGCAGACTCATCACAAGAATGAGCAAGAAACTTGCGTGTTGCTCTTTATAATCTAGGGTAGGAAATTCCTATTTCAGTCATAACGAATTTTATATGACACACTAGAGGAAAAGTCCCTGTCGATTGAAATAAAGAATCGTAGAAATATTAGAGTTGTCTAAAATAATAAGTATAATATTGTGACAAATACACGTAAAATAACCAAAAAATAGTTCTATTGTTTACTCTTCTGTATATTGTTTTATATTATGTATGTTATTTAAATGTAGAGATGTAGAATGTCTTAAATGTAATGGATTAAGGGACCGTATTAGGCACATTGATTGAAGTAGAAAAAGTATAATCCATCACATTTAAAATAAGTATTGTTGCTAAGTAACAGTTTGTGTGTAACGTGCAACTGCAATCGGAACGAAATAAATTATATTTACAACTGTATACGTAATCCACTGAATATCTCTATCAAGATCAGAGGAAGATTTTACAAAGTCAAATCTTCCTCTGATCCTCGCGCATCGCAAGCGCAAGCGCATCGATTCACATAATTTCTGTATCTAAGCAATTTACTTTATTAGGAGCTTCTGTTATAGAGGTTTTTTTCTGACTACTCTAATGATTTTGGCCGACTAACCTTTATATCTCACCGTACGATATGACTCACTCACCCACGAGTGCAGATGGCACTCCAAATCTATAGAAGAACTTATGGAGCGCCTGAATGATACGAGCTTAGTCTGAGGGCACTTTTGGAGGTTCGAACCTTGGCTCAGGTTGTCGTAATCTCGTTTCGAGTTTTAAAATGAGTTCATTTCAGCATAGGATATAAAATAGCAGTGAGAATGCACTTTATACGACTACGGTGTGTGTTTATGTGTGGACATAAAATCTGGCTGCAGTGGGCATGAGTCATTTGTTTTCACGTTCCCAGCCGGCGACTGTAATCCGTTAACACATCAAAGGGTGATGCGGTGATTATTTGTACTTTTGTGCACACTTGGTCGCCTGTGTTAATTTGTGTCTTAAGTTTTTATTTGTCATTTTTCGACAAACTTGATCAAAATAGGTGTATATTTCAATTGTAACTTCTTTTCCATTTTTAAAGTTTATTTATTTAAGTAATGGCTTAATGCTAACTAAATTGATAAAAATATGTCTTCGTCGCCCAGATTAGTGTCTGTCTTAAGCTTTTATTTGTCTTTTTTCGACATTATTGATAAAAATAGGTTTTCTTAATTTGTGTCTTTGAGGATGTACAGTTTTTTTTTTTTTAGTAATAATAATAATAATATATTTATTTGTCAGAATATGGTATGTACAATGGTGGTAAGTATATATAATATATGTTTCGTCATATTCTGCTGTTTCCAGCGTACAAATATTAAATCAATCAAGTCATTATTTGTCTTCTTTTGCGACAAACTTTTTGTTTTTCATTGCAATTGTTTGTTTTCTGTTTTCTATTACAATTGTATCTTCTTTTTTATGTTATTTATGTTATATGATATATTTACTAGCTCTATGTAGATAAGTTTTCAATAAAATATCTTTTCTGATTCGATAGGTCCTTTTCTTCCAACTTCAAGTGTGTTGTTATAAGAAAGAGGTAGTTATGTTTTAGAGCTTGATCTTCACAATTTATATTATTTCCGATTAATAAATAAATAAATAGTTGAAGGTATGGTTATATCTGGAGTCTTTGAAATACTAATTTTATTAGTAGAGTTGGTTAACCGAGACGTCATCCGCTAAAATATAAATTAATAAAATTTCTAAATTAAAAGTACCTTAAATTGGATTAGGTTAGGCAATTATTTTAGAAATTTGACGGAACTTTCACTCGCATCTGCAAATCAGCCCAGCGGTTTCAGAGATTAGCAAGAACAAACAGACAGACAAAAAAATCTATTATTTTTTTATGTAAGTATCGCATATACTTTCATATACAGTAGTGGAAAGCTATTAATTTGAAATTAGAAATAGATTTATTTGTACAGATGTTGATTTTGGAAGTTTGTGTGTTTTTCTTGAAAAAATTTAAGCATTTATTACAAAAACTACTATTTCATTGTTTTTGTTAAAAACGATATATACTATGTAATATATGTGTGATATATATTGAAAAACCCGGACGACGTAGGGACTGACTGCCATTAACAACAAATTGGTTTTAATGTAGGACCAATTGAAAGCACTACGTTGACAAACGAGGCACAATTGCTATGATTTATTGCAATATTCATTGGTACGGCAAACATGGATGTTTCAATGCAAAAATTATATAATACGATACAGCCTGTACCCGTGATACACTTTGAATATTTATTCTAGTGCTCCCTAGAATGAATTTTCAAAGAATCATCGAAATTGAAAAATTACCTAATGTAGGTAATAGGATGTAAGGAAATAATTAGCTGTATATATATATATATATATATATATAGAGCCAATATAGTATATAGATATATATAGAGCCAGTTTTCACTATTAATGTAATGGTGCATCATGTGCTGAAGGTATACGCTGGCGGGGCACCGGTGAAGAATCATAGGGTGACCATGACGTCAGGTCAGTTAGCCCATCGTGACAAATTCAACAAGAAATTACCTGGACGGTTTCCATGACATAGCAATGGGTCCACATTACTAACAATCCCCTAGTATTAGAAAGTTAACGAAATAACCAATGAGTCAGCGTACACTCACACTAGACAGTGGGAGTCGTTTAACGCGACCCTAATACGCGGGATGTTACTACAATTTGAGTTATATGCTTTATTTATAGGGCTGTTGCACAGTAACACATCTCGCCCTCCCCCCAACACCCCCCTCTTCAAAACTGCTTAATTTGAAGTTTGTATGTGTTAATTAATTATGTGTTAATCGTGTAAGGCAACATTAAATAAAAATGGCAAATCAATTATTACATTCCTTTATCTAAGTAGAGGCCAGAGCCTAAATAATCTTTGGGACATTGATGGATTGGACTGGGTATCGGGAGTTTGGAGTGTTTATTATTATAAAAACAAATAAGTGATAGGTAATTGTAAATAATGAAGCCATTGGGGGGTTTATTAGTTGGGACTGGGAAGACACCACAAGTAGTGAAAGTGAGTTTTAATGCGTTCTAAAAGAGCCCTTTAAACCTACACCCGTGTCACAAGTCTCGGGCACTACTTGGGGTTCTCTCCTTGAACCATCGGTGGCCGGCATCAGGGCCTAAGTCGTCCTCATAACCAGTGGTTTTAAAATATGTATAAAGGATTTCCTATTCTATTCAATTTTAAAGTTGGCGTCTACGCCGTTTTGACATTCTACACGTAACATATAAGGTCTTCAATGTTAGAAAGAAAGAATTCACATATTCATTATATTACGGATGTTCGGATATATATCGCGACAAAGTACACAATATTTACGGGATCTAAAGTTACCCATATTCTCCAAATGACTTAGGCAATGAGCTAGTTATATACATATAGCTATATAAGATAGAAGAATGGGTAACCGACGATGAATATGTTTTCAATAGCCCACACAACCAAATACGAAACCTAAAGTGTCCAAACGATACGTTGGACACTTTAGATGGAATGACAAACTCAAATGCATTGCCACTATTCCATTAATAGTTCAGTTTATGGAAGGTCTAAATAGTTTTTAATTTTTAGTGCGATTATCTCAAAACTATTTTTACTTTACTTACTCCACATTAAGTCGACATTTATATCTGCTATGAAATATGCGGAAGAACTTAGCGAACTGTAGTAGTTGGAGATGGACTGTGTTGGTCTAAGAGACTATGAACATACAAAGCCGATCTCTATATGTAAATGAAAGAGAGTTTTACCTTTTAAATTGTTGTATAAAATACTAAAACATGACATTTCATTTACGCAAAACGCTATCCTGACCACAGCACTAAGAATTTTTTTTTATTAGTCATAAACGCACAAGTATATCAAAATAATAAGGCAAGTAACGGATGCAATGAACACGTAATCAGACGGTAGTTGGGCAACGTAATTGCCATGAGGTACTTACAGCTGACCCCAGTTGCACAAGTAGGAAGATAAACACCGCCCAAATATCTGGCAGCGGGCAACCCTATACAGCTGCGTGTTTACGTACAGGAGCCAGTTAAATATAGAACAGCTCGGAGTCATGATTTTTGGATGCGGTATAGTAGGTTTTTTATAGTATAGAGAACCAAACGAACTTGCGGCTCACGGCTAAGCTCTTTTTAATAAAAGCGAAATTTGCGACTATGGATGTATGTTTATTACTCTTTCACGCAAAAACTGCTGAACGGATTTTGATAAAACTTTACAGTAATACAGCGTATACAGACAAACATATAGGCTATAAATTTAGCGGGTTTTAGCGGGTGTAACCGCTGGCATAGTTAGTATGAAATAAATGCGTTAGTTACCGCATCCATTGGCGTAACATTTCGTATCTCCGTTTTCGTACATCAGACAGCTGTCCCAGCATCCAGTCAGTCTCTCCCGATGCTTCACAGCGTGTTATGCTGCCGCAAGGTCTGCGTCGCGTCACCCATCAAAACACCATACATCGCACCGCTCTCTAGTGCATGAACTAATATCGACTGAACCTTACCACTAATGTCACATTTATTCATCATTTCCCAAAATGTAGCAATTTGATAGTGATAGATAGTCGTGATGAATTAGTGCGTGTATGTATATATAATCGGTGATGATTATACGTGATGTGTGATGTTTGTGTGGGGTTATATTAGGAAGTACATTGGCATGGGACTACCGGATCTGACGGTGAGTCGGTTTTGTTACTTCATTTACGGTCGTCTCTATTTTCGTTGTAATGTAACAGATGATAAAGTTTTAACAGATTATCAAACCTTTTAATTGAACGCCGTTTATAAAGTTTTGTTTATGATTTTGAACTGTTTCGTAGTCTGTATTTTTTATATACATTGGAGACAAACAAGTTGATTTAGTATATAGATAGAATGAAAATGTATTTAATATTTTTTCAGTGAAGAACAGGTTTCGTACCAGATAAGTTTCTTGCTCGTTCTTTTTGGTTGAGGTTTACATTTTGAATGTGTGAATGTGGAATAAAAAATGTATACTAAAAAGCGCTTCTAATGAAATTAATTCATCCAATAAATATTGTTAATAATGGGATAAAGGCAAGGCAATGATGATGATGAATAAATATTGTTATAATTTCTTTTAATTACTAGATCGGAAATCTTACTTAAAGATTTTCGATCGAAAATCTCTGTTAGTCTTAATCCCTCTAGGTGTGCATTAAAACAATAATAACAATGAACAACCCATATACATAGCCCCATAATAAGCAGAGCTTGTGTTGTGGGCGCTAGACAACTGTTACATAAATACTTAAATATGTATATTTTGTAAATAAATACATTGAAAATACCCAGATTGATACTAACATCATACTCATGAATATAAATTTTCATACAGTGCTTGAAATAAAACCCAACCCATCGGAAGTAAGGCAGTGTGGTAAACCACTAATGATATATTAGTTTAAAAAAAACTAATATTTAAAAAGATAACAGTAAACAAAAACACACATATATACAGCTCTAAAGTAGACAATAGTGTATATATTCAATGACACTATAAAAAAATTTTAATAAAGTGGATATTATTTAAAAAAAGAATACTAATATTTAAAAAGTTAAAAACAAACAAAACACACATATATACAGCTCTAAAATAGTCATCAGTGTATATATTTCATGCCACTACGAAAAAAAATGATGTAAGGCGGATATAACTTAAAAAAAAAAGAATACTAATATTTAAAACGTTAACAGAAATCAAAACACATCTAAAATAGAATATTAAATATATTCAATGCCACTACGACAGTCCAATGCGACAATATTGTACTAGTGATATTCATTTTGTACAAACTGTACCCGCGACTTCATCCGCGTGGAATATAACTATTGTTCTAAAATAAAATTATTTTTCTAAAATAAAAGTAGCCTAAGTTACTCCTTATTATATCAGCTACCTGCCAATAAAGTCCCGTCAAAATCGGTCCAGCCATTTCAGAGCCATTTCAGACAGACAGAAATTGTAATAAATGTTTTTTGGTGCATGTATCGTATAATATATTCATATGCATGTAGTAAAAAACGGTTATTTCAATATTACAAACAGACACTCCAATTTTATTTGTATGTATATGTATGTAGATGTGTTTAATCTTTGTTGGGAACTATTCACGGCCCATCAGAGCAATTGTGGTTGCCAAAGTCGCAATGTTATGTACATTAGCAGTATGTATAAAATGCTTCATGCGTTATTGTTGCCAATTTAAAGTCGATCTAGACATGGTATATTCATTTTCCTAGCTTCCGATAGTTACTTCAAATATTTGAAAGATTTTTAAATAGAAATAAATAGTATTGAATTTTTTTTTATAAATATTTCCTAGATTTCAACTGAAATTTAAAACGAAAAGAAAGTAATGCTAATATATTTGAAACGAAAGTTTTTTAAAAGAATTAAAAATTATATATGTATTGAGTATAATTGTTAAACTATATTTTATATTATTAATAGTGTTAGGGTTTATGGTAAGCTAGCTAGAAGTACTTGCTTTTTTTCCTAGCTTATGACTGTAAATTCAGGCAGTTATATTTTTGAAAGACTTGTATTGAATTCAAACAGTATCGAGTTTAATTATTAAACTGTATGTTTTTATTAATGGTAGTTATGGTGTTTATGGTAAACTAGTTTTCCGCAGTGCTGATGTTCGTGGACTCAATTAGAAATAATCTTTATTCAAATAAAGTAACTATTTTACTTCATATAGTAATCTTTTAATTTAATACTGCTCATTGTAAACCAGACTCATCATAAAAAGAACGAGCAAGATACTTGCGTGTTGCTCTTTGAAATAAGTCTTGTTTCTCGCTGATAATGGTTAATTTTTTTAAATATATGTTTTTATATGTCTGTTACAAAAAAGAATCCAATACAAAAAATGTATTTTTTATTATATTATGGATGATTTGATAAGTATCGAGGGGAGTAGAGTGGAGTATTTATCTTAAGAAGTTAAAAAAGGAAATATTTTGTAAATTTGATGCCCATTTGATGGTAGATGCTTACAGTAGCCTATGAAACACCAGGGTATCACGTGCGCATTGTCGACCCTTAAGAGACCTTATAATAGTGTATTCTTATTTATTACAAGCTGTACCCGCGACTTCGTCCGCGTGAAATTCAATTTTATTTTTCAAAAATAAAAGTAGCCTAAGTTATTACATCAGCTAAATGCCAAAAAAATTCCCGTCAAAACTGGTCCAGCCACTTTACACATTAGCCGGAAAAAACAGACGGACAGACAGACAAAATTTGTAAAAAATGTTATTTTGTTGTATACACCGTATTTATATTCATATGCATGTAGTAAAAACGGTTATTTCAATATTACAAACAGACACTCCAGTTTTATTTATATGGATATATTCGTAGAGTATATTAACTTAAAGTGAAGTACTAGTTCTGAGGTATGGTATATGAACACATAATTATGTAGTGGAGACTCATATGACTAATTTGATAACCCAAACACGTTTAACCCAATGACATTTACAGACCTCTTTACAGCGACATACAAACTGTGTCGCACTGATATATTTAGCTCTCAGTTGACTGGGTTAGTTTAAACTGTATATCATACTATATTTTATATATAACACTCATGTCTTTACTAAATATAACTGGTAGTCAAGGTTATATTATTATGTTTTTATATATATTTTAAATTATTACTATTAAAAAATGACGACGATGTACTGTCATGAAGTATTGGTATGTGCTACTAGGCATTACCTAAAGTAAGATTACGTTACTTATTTTTAAACTTTCGCGTTTAGCACACAATATCTTTATAGAGTTCTTGTCAATTGTCTCCATCACGAAATCACTTCGCACTGACGGTAGATTTGACATATATAAGTCTGTAATAGACCTACATGAATAAAAGAATTGTATTTGATTGGACTGGACTTGGACTGGACGATAGGGAAAAAAATATAATGTAAAACTTGACGTTCATAAGCGGGTAAAAAGTCCTACATGAATAAATGATTTTTTAATTTGAATTTGAATTTGATTTTTTGAGTATAAAAGTCGTTGAGTAGACTCGAGAGAGAAGAATAGGAGCCTGCTTGGCGAGCTTTTTTTTTTTTCGAGACAGTTCACACAGCACCTAATTCAAAATCTAAGCAGAGCTTGTGTTATGCTTACTAGGTCTGATACATAGATATATTTTTTGTAAATATATATCTACATACTGAGTCTACTCAACTGTGGCGTTAATCGATTTCCTGACCTGGACATCTTTACATGTGACTTGTTGAATTTTAGCAGAATGGCAATGGATTTCCTAAATAACACGTAAATTTGTCGGTTATTATTGTTTTAATATATATTTTTTTGTGTATTTATTAATATTTTATATTTTGTAAATTTTTTCCTAAGCGAGCATATTGGGAAGCTGTAAGGCTCACTTAGTTTGATGTCAATAAATAAATAATATACATAAAAAATACCCAGACCGATACGAACAATCATACTCATGAATACAAAGAGGGTAGACCACCGAGGCTGTCTCCGTGGAACATCAAGCAAGTCTCATCTCCGTGCTTGTATGAATATGTTGAATAATGTACAGGAAGGAAATGAGGCCTGTGAATAGATGTGGCAACATTTGGCGTTCCGTCGATTCTGTCTTTCCCAATTGCAGTCACGCGTGACGATATATCTTTAAATTGATTTATTAATATTGCTAGTATAACTGATTATTGTTTAATGGTTAATTCTTTACCTTGTTTAGGAGATAATGCTAAGTATGATTATTTTGTAGATTGTTTCCTTGTGTATATGATGAAGTGTATAAATAATAAAATTATCTCGGAAATGTGTGCGTTCTGTTTTTAGTCTATATGACGACGTTTGAGGAAGTTAAATGAAGAAAAAACTACTTGTATAGAGTTTCGACGTAAGATGAATTTAAATGTATCGGCGAGCATGGTATTCGTATCTTAAAACTAAAGTCCCCTCCTGTATTGATGTGGATTGCTCACTCATTGTCATCTAGCGTTTTACTAAAATATTACACATGTATAAAAGATGCTATTTACGACAAGTTTAGGTAGTGGTACTATAAATGATTGTATAAAATATGTGATGTGACGTGATTTGTGGCGTGTGGCAGGAGGTGCGCGCGGAGCGGGACGTGCTGCAGGCGCGCATGTCGGAGCAGGCGCTGAAGATCTCGTCGCTGTCGGCGCGGCTCCAGCAGCAGCGGAACGACGCGGAGGCGCTCGCGCACCACGCCGCCAGCCAGCTCTCAGTACAGCTGCACGACGCGCTCGCAGAGGTACTCTACTGTACTGTACACTCCTCACTACACCACCTCACTACAACGACGCGGAGGCGCTCGCGCACCACGCCGCCAGCCAGCTCTCAGTACAGCTGCACGACGCGCTCGCAGAGGTACTCTACTGTACTGTACACTCCTCACTACACCACCTCACTACAACGACGCGGAGGCGCTCGCGCACCACGCCGCCAGCCAGCTCTCAGTACAGCTGCACGACGCGCTCGCAGAGGTACTCTACTGTACTGTACACTCCTCACTACACCACCTCACTACAACGACGCGGAGGCGCTCGCGCACCACGCCGCCAGCCAGCTCTCAGTACAGCTGCACGACGCGCTCGCAGAGGTACTCTACTGTACTGTACACTCCTCACTACACCACCTCACTACAACGACGCGGAGGCGCTCGCGCACCACGCCGCCAGCCAGCTCTCAGTACAGCTGCACGACGCGCTCGCAGAGGTACTCTACTGTACTGTACACTCCTCACTACACCACCTCACTACAACGACGCGGAGGCGCTCGCGCACCACGCCGCCAGCCAGCTCTCAGTACAGCTGCACGACGCGCTCGCAGAGGTACTCTACTGTACTGTACACTCCTCACTACACCACCTCACTACAACGACGCGGAGGCGCTCGCGCACCACGCCGCCAGCCAGCTCTCAGTACAGCTGCACGACGCGCTCGCAGAGGTACTCTACTGTACTGTACACTCCTCACTACACCACCTCACTACAACGACGCGGAGGCGCTCGCGCACCACGCCGCCAGCCAGCTCTCAGTACAGCTGCACGACGCGCTCGCAGAGGTACTCTACTGTACTGTACACTCCTCACTACACCACCTCACTACAACGACGCGGAGGCGCTCGCGCACCACGCCGCCAGCCAGCTCTCAGTACAGCTGCACGACGCGCTCGCAGAGGTACTCTACTGTACTGTACACTCCTCACTACACCACCTCACTACAACGACGCGGAGGCGCTCGCGCACCACGCCGCCAGCCAGCTCTCAGTACAGCTGCACGACGCGCTCGCAGAGGTACTCTACTGTACTGTACACTCCTCACTACACCACCTCACTACAACGACGCGGAGTCGCGCACCACGCCGCCAGCCAGCTCTCAGTACAGCTGCACGACGCGCTCGCAGAGGTACTCTACTGTACTGTACACTCCTCACTACACCACCTCACTACAACGACGCGGAGGCGCTCGCGCACCACGCCGCCAGCCAGCTCTCAGTACAGCTGCACGACGCGCTCGCAGAGGTACTCTACTGTACTGTACACTCCTCACTACACCACCTCACTACAACGACGCGGAGGCGCTCGCGCACCACGCCGCCAGCCAGCTCTCAGTACAGCTGCACGACGCGCTCGCAGAGGTACTCTACTGTACTGTACACTCCTCACTACACCACCTCACTACAACGACGCGGAGGCGCTCGCGCACCACGCCGCCAGCCAGCTCTCAGTACAGCTGCACGACGCGCTCGCAGAGGTACTCTACTGTACTGTACACTCCTCACTACACCACCTCACTACAACGACGCGGAGGCGCTCGCGCACCACGCCGCCAGCCAGCTCTCAGTACAGCTGCACGACGCGCTCGCAGAGGTACTCTCTACTGTACTGTACACTCCTCACTACACCACCTCACTACAACGACGCGGAGGCGCTCGCGCACCACGCCGCCAGCCAGCTCTCAGTACAGCTGCACGACGCGCTCGCAGAGGTACTCTACTGTACTGTACACTCCTCACTACACCACCTCACTACAACGACGCGGAGGCGCTCGCGCACCACGCCGCCAGCCAGCTCTCAGTACAGCTGCACGACGCGCTCGCAGAGGTACTCTACTGTACTGTACACTCCTCACTACACCACCTCACTACAACGACGCGGAGGCGCTCGCGCACCACGCCGCCAGCCAGCTCTCAGTACAGCTGCACGACGCGCTCGCAGAGGTACTCTACTGTACTGTACACTCCTCACTACACCACCTCACTACAACGACGCGGAGGCGCTCGCGCACCACGCCGCCAGCCAGCTCTCAGTACAGCTGCACGACGCGCTCGCAGAGGTACTCTACTGTACTGAGTACAGAGTACTACCTCTCTGCATCACCTCACTACACTACCTGCACTACCTGCATATCTTGTAATGCAGTACATATATTATACATGGTAGTTCAGAAGCAATGGGAATACACAGCTCACTCCCCAAAATTCGTAGTCTTCGTCAACACACACGTAATACAAATTGCAAAGTTCAACAACTCGCAATTTTATAATATTACGGAATTTTTGTACTTTTATTTTCGACCTTAATTTTGACTGATACGCACGCTTAAATATAAAAATAACAAAAATAATCATTCGTATAAACACACAATAAATGGATGATAAACTTAAATGTTGTATCTGTTTCTTCTTTTTTTTTTTAATATACAATCGATTTGTTTACATAAAAATTTTAAATTAATATAATTTAAAAATTGAAGATATATGTATATATAGTAGATATAGAACCTTAGTTAAGTCCATTTTGTGACTGTTTTTTGCACAATAAACTTATTATTATTATTATAATTTATTGAAATCATGGTGTCCTCATTCTGCATCGCAGGTACAAAGATTAAAAGATGAGCTGGATACAAAAGAGAAACAGATGATGCGGCTGAAACAAACACTGGACGAGAGGGACAAACTTAACGAACAACACCAGACCTTGTATGGAAACTCATGTGAGTATTATTATATCATAACTTACACAACTTGTATAATGACCACCATGTTGTAGCAGTTTACCACATGGTATCATATTCTAATGATCACGAATTTGAACTAAGCCTAATATAAACTTGTATTCTTGAGTATGGCCGTTGGTATTTTTATTTGGACTTAATAATGGAATTAAATAAATTTTACTTGGAAGTTACACAAAAGAGTGTTAAAACAGTAGTAGCAAGTCTGCTGTGAGCAGTATAATGCTCAATACGACAGACGCACTCAACCACCACTGGTCGACGTCAAACGTTGCGTCGATGACGGCATCACAAAATCGACCAGTGAGAAGCACCGCTCATCACGCGACATATATGAGAACCAATAAAAAGGGTGGATACTCCACCCCTATGTAATATTAAAATTTAAAGTTGTTGCAATAAACGCTTCATGAGAAGAGGTCACAAGTTTCATTTAAAAATACTCTTCCTTATCAAAAAACAAATTAACAAGAGTATATTTAATTGTGTATCGGTGGTAATAGCAATACCAAACCGCCATGCAGAACTAGTTACTTCTAAAATACGTGGTACTTTGGAAGTAGATAGGCCTGTCTGATTTATTGTAACATGAACGAATATGTGTTACTCTTTTATATATGTTACATTAGTAACATATATAAAAGAGTAACACATATTCGTGAATCAACAACAATATTAATTGTTGTTGATCTGCTTAAGGCTGCTTATTACTTGTAGTTAGGAATATTTTAAGATAAATACACGAAACGATTGATATCTGATAACTATAGATAACCGCCATTGTCTTACCATATAATAATAATATCACTGGATAATTCACACAGCATCATCTTGTCCCTAACTAAGCAGATCTTGTGTTATGGGTATAATATACATAGAAAATCACATAGACCTATACCACCAATATACTCATGAATACAAATGTTTGTACTGTGAGGAATCGAACCCGCAATCATCGAAAGTAAAGCTAATCTGCTAGACCACCGAGGCCGTCAAATTTCACCAATTATTTTAATTTATTACCAGGTAATCCTAAAGATAAAGTCATCATATTGGAACGCGAGCTCTCTACAGCGCAAAGTCGTATCGCTCAATTAGAGTCGCTCGCAAGAAGTTTAGAATCTGATAAGGAACAGTTGCAAGTTAACGTTAGGGATCACCAGAGGGCGTTGGCCGAGAAAGAAGATCAGCTGCAAGAACTGTTGGGTAAGTTATGACATACCAGTTTTTACTCGCGACTTTGTTCACATGACCGATGTTGGACTGCGGTAAATATAGTACTGCAGTAAAGAAATAATTACGTTATACCTTTGATCATAATTTTATTTGAGATCGTTAAAAACTTTCAATCGAAGTAATTTATAATACTAATAAAGAAAATAACAGGTGATTTACAAGTATATAGGAAAAATGTTACCATTTTACCATTCTTAAATTAAGAAACTAGTTTGTTTAGTTGAAAATATCATTTAACCACAATATTTGATTAAATGTTATGATTGGACGTGAATTTCTAAGAAGTTTAAATTGCAAATTTCTAGACTTCGTTAATTAACAATACTTGGACATGATCCAATTTCCTACAATTATCTAGGGTACGATGACAAATCTGTTTATACCACGGTCATTATGATTCATAGCGTATATTACCTTTCAGCGTTAAAACTAGAGGATGATAACAACGAGGGTACCAACGAAAAAAGCGATATGGTAGAAGGAAAGGCTTCAGCTAGAACACTAAGCGACATAGTCTCAATATCCGAATTTGATGAGCAGGATTTGCAAATGAGGAGAGCGGAGTTAAAGGCTCAGAACTTGAGTTTAACCGGCGCACCGTACGCATCTGACATTCGAGACAAGAGTCAATTGAATAGGACATTGCCCCCGGATTTGCAGCGAGCGAATATGAGCTCCCTCAATATCGAGTTCGTCGACCATTTTGACGTGCAAGCTAATACTCCACGCGCTGATTCATTGCCCACACATCTTACTTCCACCCAGAATAAAGATATACTTAAACAGTTTAAAAGAAATGTCAATGAAACTACAATGTTTGGTACTATTGCATTTGGGGACAGTGTTAAACATTCCACCGCTCAAAATATACCAGATAATTGTTCAATGTATCCTAATATGGAAGTTAATGAGACAAAAGATGTAAGCGTTGAACCTAAAAAGATCAACTTCTCTATTGAACCATCGAATGATAATAAAACGCACGAGGAAGAAGAATTTACATCTTTGCGAGAATTAGGAATAAATCTGGATATCAGACAGGAAAATTTCCCTGATATACTGACACAACTGAAGCATGAGATTAAAAAATCAAGAACTGAATTAGACAATTGTAAGTCAGAATTAAAGAACGCTGAAGAACAATTGTGTGAATTTCCGGCTCTTAAGGAAGAAGTGGAGGAACTTAAGGGACTTTTAGAAAATACTATGGCTACAATGAATACAGACAAGAAATTCTACGAGAATCAACTAGATAATTTCTCATCTAATAAGAAACTTTTAGAACAAAGATTAACGGAACTAACACAGGAGGTTAATGAAAAATCGAAAGACTTACATTTGCTCAAAGAAGATATTTTAAGAAGAGAAAACATGATACTAGAATTAGCTAAAGAAAAGCGTAACCTAACTAATAAATTGGCTGAGTTGGAAGTCAAAATTGATGAGCTTCAGAGTAGAAATAAATGCTTAGAAAAGTGTGAATCTGAGAATCATCAACTTAAGGAGAATATAAAGGAATTACAAAAACTTGAACAATTGGTCTCTGAAAAGAACCATCAAATAGATAGTTTAAATCAACACCTAGACAGATTTGACAATTTGGAAAGGTGTCTTAATGATAAATCTGAAGAATTAGATAATTTGAAAGAGACATTAGAAGAGAAATCTGCCGAACTTTATCAATTACAAGATTCTGTAGAAGCTGTGAAAGGCGATTTGAATAAAGCCAATGAAGAGAATCAACAACTCAATATTAATAATAAGGAATTGATACTAAAGTTAACAAAAATAGAAAAAGAGCAAGAAAATGCTTCTCTGAAACTTCAGAACAGCGAAACTGAGTTGGAAAGAATGAATTCAATAAACAACGAATTATCGTCGAAAATTGACGAGCTTAAGGTGCTCACTGATAAGCTTAAAGATAAAGAAACTGAGATAGAAATACTCCATGAAGATATCAACTCTTTTCATGAAGAGATTGCGTGTTTGAGGGAGCAATTAAAAATGGTATCGAGAAGTCCATCGCCGAAGAGCAAGAACGGCGAGGAGAAAAGATCGCCCAAGACTCAGGCGAGTAGTGACAAGAAGCAACTGGTTAAGATTAGGAAACAGATAACACTACTGCAACATGAGCTTGACTTTAACAAGAAGGAGCTTAATGATAAAGTAAGTAATATTAAACACGTTTTAAAATTATTTATTTTTACTTTAAAGACATGTTTGATGTATCTTTTATTTTGTTGTATGTAAAAGGAATGTTAAACAAGTTGAGGGCCGACGTGATAGAAAATGGCAACTGTTGCCTATATATAAGAACAGCACTACATTACGTCGTTATATGAGATTTGTGGTATCCTACTGGGATACTCATGCCTCTGCACCCTAAAATTTTGCTGGCCTATCTCATACTTCAAACCTAAACACAAACTGCTTGGCGCCAAAATAGGCAATGTACAGTCTATTTTGTACAAACCTTGGATTGAGTTTTAACCGAAGTGTCTACTTCGGTTAAAACCCTTTTCGGCATTTTCCTTGATATTAAACTTTTTACACTGATGTCTATTTTATAATCAGGCATTCGAATTAGCAAAAGCCAAGCTGGATGTAACGGAACTGAAGAATAATCTGAGTCAAGCGAACAAACAGACAGCGGATAAGGATTTGTCCAATATGGAATTACGGCAACAGACGGAAAGTTTACAGCAACAGATACAACACTTGACGGTGGAGAGACAGCACTTGAGCGAACAGTTGGAGATTGTCGTGGCAAGGTTAGTTCCATCAAATAACTAATACACCAGTAGGTAATTTAATTTTAACGATAGGTTCGTCTTCGATTTGAATTTAAATATTGAAATTAGTCTTCGTCGTCTTTATTTTTCCCATCAGGCACCACATGGCATGAAATTCAAGATGCTATAAGTATTAAATTACATCCTTGTTTAATTCATATCCATTTTTGTTTATTTCTTAAGGGAATAATTAGCCGGTCACCTTTGCTACAATAAATTGGGATCAAAATCATACCGATTTATTTCCATTTCTATATTTTTTTTCCTCAACGATACTATGTGACATCAATTTTCATGGATTATGTTTAAGAACTGCAGGCGTCAAATAGGCCTGCAGTTTTTAAATATAAAATAATAACAATATTGCAATTTCTATAGCAATTCTGTTCATATTATTTGTGTACAAATTCATGACTATTTTTAGATTGAGAGAAGAGTCAAATGTATCGGAACTGAAGACGAAGTTGCAGAAGAAGGTGGAACGTTGTCAAGAGCTGGAAAACGAGGTTCAAGAGCTGAAGGAACTCCTAGATAGGTGAGGGAGTTAAATCATGTAATAAAAGTTAATGTATATATTTATTAGTCGAGTTATAGACTCTAATATTCGTAAGTTCGAGTTAAGAGCATCGCGGTTTTAGCAGTATACTACCCAGCTTAAAAATTTTAATGTTTACGCTAACGGTTACGCTAGCGGGTTACTAGGATGATAAGATGAGCCTCACGCTCAGGTCAGATCGGTTCCACCCATCGTGACAAATTTGCCAGGAACTTATGATGGGGTTTTTAGGGGGACTGCGTTGATGGTCCATTGATAGCTATGGGGATGTTAGTCCACAGTACTAACAATCACGTTCGTCATTAGACGGTAATATCGTGTGTATATGGTTTTATAATATTGGAAGACCGGTGTGCAGGCAAAGACCGTGCCAAGATCTGGTGGTGTCGCAGCACTCGGGCGGCGGCAGTCGCTCGCCCACCGCCGAGCTGGAGCGCGCGCTGCGCGACCAGCTCCACTACTCCCACGCCCTCGACGAGGACATCATGGAACAGGTACCCTCCACGCCCCATTCCTAATGCTGTATCATCCAATCCCACGTAACTCTTTATAGCTTAGGAATTCAAAACTGTGTGAATTTTGTTATAGTCAATGTCTCTACGAAACAATATACTCTCATACTAAGAAAAATGTACTAAATTGATGCTCTGAATCCGAAGTTTATTTTCCTAATAACAGAATCTTCCCTCTCTCTCTCTTTCGCTTTCCCTCTCTCTCTCTCTCTCTCTCTCTCTCTTTCTCAGTGCAGACATAGAATTTCAATTTTGAATTTGTAGTACTACTGTTAAATATCCCATTTTTTTTTAATATTGTCTCATTATTATAGCTGTTTGGGTTTGTTCCGTTGCTTTTAAAAAGGTGAAATAACTTTGGCGCCAAAATGTAAAAAATATAATATTATAGAGACCATAAGCGAACTATAGGAAAAGTATATATATTGTCATATTTATTGAAATATACTGAAATACAGTTTTAAAGGTTTTGTTTTAAGTGATATAATAGTTGAAAGTACCTACAGTACAAGTATATATATATATTTAAGGCTTCAAAATAAAGAAGTATATTAATTACAATTTTTCTCTAATTAAACATTTGGTCTCGGATTTAAATTCAGTTTGGTTTAGTTTAGTGTAAATTGATTACCTATATATAACCTGACTAAACTAAGAAACAGAAGTTTTTTGCTGGACAAGTCCATAGTACAACAACGAGTAGCATCAGTGGCGTCACTTCATGGTACCTATAGTGCGTTGTTTTCGTGACATCAGTGGTCAAGCTAGTTGTAGACTGTTGTAGGCGCTGTTCGGAGTAATTTCGATACATGGAAGCAGAGAAATAATATTGCTGTGATATCTGATTATCAATAAGTGAGTGAAGTGGAAACTGTGAGTACATTCCATAAATTATTAATTGTAGGCGAAATTTATTAATTGAAGAGAACAATAGTCAATGAAGATACAATTAAATTAACTTTATTATCTATATGGTGGCAAGAATGATGTACTGCAACAATCTTTCAATAAAGTATTGACTTTGATATTTGTGAAACAAGGATTTGGAAAATTTATAAATAGACAAAAATGATTAATATCGTACAATATTAGGATAAGATACACTTATATTTATATTTGTAAAGTGATTTTATATTTTATAAGTCTGAGATCTGTATGTTTAAACTATAATTTCGTTTAATTTAAATTTACTCTGTAGTTTATGTTTGTAGTTTAATTTACTTAATAGGTTCTTATTACATTGAAACAACAGAGCAATATATATATTATAGAATTTTAATTTAATTAATAAGTGTAAATTGTAAATTGACAAGACAGCAACTATAATTGAATAGATTCTTATATCTTAATATTTTTATGTAATTAGCGTTTGTAAAATGGATTCATTAATTAATGTTCAAAATGATCTATACACACGAATTTGTAAGGCTAGGACTAACTTTAAAAAATCGCCTAAAAGCCGTATTACAATGGAATATATAGAGAGTAAACTAGAAGTAATAGAAGAGTTATGGTCTGAATTTAAAGCTGGTCATAAAGAGCTTCTTAAAGTAGCAGATCCAGATAAATTGAATATTCATATTTATGTTACTGATGAAATATATGATAAGGCTGAAGAAGTGTATATAGATCATAAATGTGAGTTGACAAAACTGTTAAAAGGTTTTATACCAGAGAGGTCGGGTAATGAAACTATTTTCATTAGTAATGATGATACAAGTGCTAAGCCAAGCTATGTCAGGCTCCCAAAGGTTAATATACCTATTTTTACAGGAAAGTACAGCGAATGGATTACTTTTCGTGATTTATTTCTGTCTATGATTCATAATAACTCATCTTTAGATAAAGTGCAGAAATTGCATTACCTTAAGGGATGTTTGACAGGCGAGGCAGAGCAATTAGTAAGGCATATTTCTGTATCTGAAACTAATTATGACATATGTTGGAGGCAACTTGAGGACAGGTATAACAATAGAAAATATTTATCTCACTGTATACTTACAAGGCTTTTAGGTCAAACAAATGCTGTTACTGAAACGGCAGATTTTCTTAAAGAATTATTAGATACTTCGACTGAATGTTTGAATTCTTTGGTAAATATTGGAGTAAATATTTCATCCTGGGATATACTATTAATTCATATACTCACGTTAAAATTAGATCCTGAATCACGAAAGCAGTGGGAATTAAATATTAGTACTAACACTTGTTTAAACATTTTACCCACATTTCAACAGTTTAAAGAGTTTCTTACCTGTCGCTACAGAGCTCTCGAGTTTACAGAATCTAGCTTCAGTAATAGACGAATAGATGGAAATTTAGTACAAAACCCTGTTAGACCTAGAGTACTACATACAAATGTATTTGAAGTAGCGTGTGAATATTGTTCCGGTAACCATAAGTTATGTTTCTGTAAGTACTTTATTTCAGAAAGTTATAAAAATAGACACGAGTTTGTTGTAAATAATCGTATTTGTTTCAATTGCTTCGGAAGCAATCATTCTGTGAGATTCTGTCAAAAACCTATTAATTGTAGAGTATGTCAAAAAAGACATCACTCACTTCTACATCCACCAAATTTGACCTCTGAAACTAGCCATCAAAATGATTCAGTACATAATATCGGTGAAGTCCCAATATCTAACAACCAAGTCGAGACCCCAATAGATTCTGTAGTATCGTGTTTGAGTACTAGCACAGAAAATCAAGTTCTCTTAACAACAGCTCTAGTGAGAGTCAAATCGGGATCAGGTCAATATCAGGTTTTTCGAGCAATTATAGATCAAGGTTCACAAGCCTCTTTCATTTCAGAAACTGCATTTCAAAGATTAGGTTTAAAAAGTTCAAGTACAAAGACTATAATATCTGGGCTTGGTGGTTACTATGGTTCGGTAGCTTCAAAAGGGAAAATATTATTGGAAATTCAGTCAATGTTTGATTCAACTTTTAGCACTAATGTTACAACACATATCTTAAAACAGATTACATCTTACATGTCAGCTAAACAGATACCTAAGATAGATTGGATTAATTCAGCTAACGTTACACTGGCTGATCCACAATACAATGTTCCAAATAAAATTGACATGTTATTAGGAGCAGAAGTCTATAGCCAGATTTTACAAGAGGGTATAATAAGAGGTCCACGTGGTTCTCCTGTAGCACAATGCACCTCTTTAGGTGGGTTTTATTTGGACCTGTTCAATGTATAAATTCTAAAAATAATATAGTGGTTTTGCATAGTAATATAGAAAAAGATGATAATATACTACAAGGTTATCGGGAAGTAGAATCAAATAGTACATATAATTTAGGAACTCCAGAAGATCAAGAAAAATGTATGCGGTTGACCAACAATAAAAAATATATTAAAAGTAGACATAATGTCAAGTCCATGTTTCATACTAAAATATTTTATAATACGAAAACAGAGTTTAATAGAACTACTGAGTATAAAAGACACAATATAAAAGTAATGAAAGATTACTTATATTTAAAAGATAATGTGATGATAGAACAGAATGTTGATAGAACGAAATTGCAGAATCGCATCGCATTGCAGAATGTTGTGGTTCAGAAGGACAAGTCTACTGTTAAACATAATATATATTAAAATTTCAAAATTCAAATGAATTCTGCAAAAAAGTCAAAGATGCAACGTTCAACGATAATAATTGTTAATAGGGACATATTTAGAATGAAGAGTTCAAGCAAATCAAATATGCTGAAAAATGCATAAATAACAAATGCTAGTTTCATAAAAAAAAAAAAAAATTATATGATTAGTAATTGAGGATTAGAGACTGAACCCTAAAAGCACTATGGTGGTATTAAGTTAAGAATGTATAATTAGATTACATATAAATGAAAGATTATCAAAGCATCGAAAAGTAAGTAGAACAAATTAATTGATAGAAAATATAAATTAGTATGGATAATGTAAAAATAGTGAAAGTAGGAAGTATTATCTGGTGTAGATGTTTCAATACATTTTAATACTCAGTGAAATTATCTTCGATCATAAACTAATGATAATGAATATAATTCTAATATTTGATTCAGATAACATATACAAAAATAATATATGATTTACTTACTAAAATAATATTTATTCATTATAATATGTTATATTGTACGAATTCTGTATTGCACACGAGAACATTCATGATTTAACTGTAAAGAATTGTATGGATTTTGTAATATATTTCTCAACACTTTGACAGTGGTTGTTATAGAACTTTGAGTGTCTATTATGATTTTTTGAGCGCACATTTTATTAATTGGTAGCTAAAACTAGGCTGAAAACCAGAATACTATACATATATTGAAATATATATTGAATATACTACAAATTACAATTAGACTACATGTGATAATTGCAATAATCATATTATTGACAGTCCTAAGGCAGATGTGTATCTCAATTAGTTTAGTAAAATAATTCAACTCCAAAAAAATGGGTTTTTGGCAGAATAGCAGTTATATCCTTGTGCCATATAACTTTGGTGTATAGACAATCTTAAAACATTTATGTCATGTTGAAATTCTGTATACTGTCCATTGTTTGACTGAGTTTGGGCAATTCTTATTCATTCTTATTTATGTTAGTGTATTTAGTTCAGGAATGAAATAGATTTAATATTGTACATGAGTTTTGAGTTTGTTTCGATTTTTTATTTCATTATTATATATTTGATTTAGTTGCTTCACGGTGGGCGGATTTGAAATAAAGGACATGAAGTCCTTGGTGGGCGGAATGTTAAATATCCCACTTTTGTTTAATATTGTCTCATTATTATAGCTGTTTGGGTTTGTTCCGTTGCTTTTAAAAAGGTGAAATAACTTTGGCGCCAAAATGTAAAAAAATGTAATATTATAGAGACCATAAGCGAACTATAGGAAAAGTATATATATTGTCATATTTATTGAAATATACTGAAATACAGTTTTAAAGGTTTTGTTTTAAGTGATATAATAGTTGAAAGTACCTACAGTACAAGTATATATATATATTTAAGGCTTCAAAATAAAGAAGTATATTAATTACAATTTTTCATTGAAATTATAGAAAATTCCCTAATTAAACAACTACTATATAATACAAGTGAACCCGACTCCATATATCTTACAGTAATATTTTTACTATTATCAACTGCAAAAGAGTATTTTAAAATATTAAAAATACCCAGAAAATAACAAAGTTCAAAAGCTTGAAATCTTTCTTCGCGCTCTGTCATCGAAGTAATAAAGCTTGCATCCAGACTTGAATGTACTGGAACGTGATTTTAATTTTATTGTTTCGTCGACAGATATTATCCGCAAGTAGCGATGAACGCGAAGAAATACCGCGACTGGCTTTGAATACGTCGAAGTAAGTTATAAATAAGTTTCTTTTTCCTATTTTCTACGCACTTCTAGTGGCTAATTGACTGACGGTCTAAAGGAAAGTTAGAACTGTTCTATATACTTGAATACCAACATAGATGTAACAAAATACATTTTGACTGTCGTGGTACCTTAGGCGTTGTAAGACTGCAAGTGTTTTGCCTCTGTACATTGTAATTTTACTGCCATATCTTAAGCTCGAGACCGAAACACAATTGACAAAGTAAATTAATATGAGTTGAATAAAATAAGATAGACAATTTTGTACAAAGTTTCTCTAGCTAAAATTGTGCTTTTTGAGCCAAGATACACATTGTTAGAATTAAGGGTTATTATTCAGAATAGAATAGAATAGAGTAACATTTATTCAAATAATAAGTTTATTTGAATTATAATTTAAATTATTTCGTCGTTTATTATTAAACGACGAAATAATTTAAGCACTTTTGAATAGTCATAACATTTTTTTTTATCTACCGCTCGTTCGGAAAGCTGTCTCATCACAAGAAGAACGAGCAAGAAACTTGTGTGTTGCTCTTTTAACTTTCACATCTCGGAAGCTTTTAATAAAATGCATTTAGTAAAAACAAATATATTTTAAAAATCAACTTTAAAGTTTGTAGGTTAAAGTCCATATTCCAATGTGCAGTGTATGCTTAATTCCTAATTTCCGTGGTGGAACTTTATGTATGAGTGGTTCCGTCAGGTCATCCAGCTCGATCCAATCGTCATCTTCAGAGCGCATGTCGCGGCTGAGATCGGAGAACGAGCGTCTCCAGCTGCAGCTGAACAGCCTCGAAGCGCGCCTGCGGGATAAGGATGCGCTCATCACAGAACTCAACCGGTAAATAGCATCTTCTCTCCACGACCCGCTTTTTTTAAGTATTCCAAAACTGTTGGCAATAGTTGGTTTTTACAGCTTCACTAAAGGAATATGTGAGCTAATATAGAGGGCACTCCAGGCCTGTAGAAGGACTTATACAGCGATATCGAAAATAAATAGAATATCATACACTGTAATAAGTTTATATTACAGTGTACAATATAGCACCTTCTATATGTCGCCAATGTCATAAGTTTGAATTTAGCAGACACAAAAAGGTTTCTTTGTACATTATATGAATGATTGTACGATTCTTGTATTAATTTCGGTTATCTGTTATTCTGTAACAGTATGGCGGTCTTGTTCACGGCAAATCAAACCTAATAGATTATATGATAAATGTCATTTTGCAGCGTCCGCGACCGGCTCGTGCAGGACTGGCAGACGAGTAAGCTACGCTGCGAGGCCGAGAGAGACAACGCCGCGCGCCTCCACCTACTACTCGACACGCACAAGCAAACCGCGGACTCACTACAGGTAGCTCCCTAACACATACATACCTAACCTCACCCATGTCGCTGTAGGGACTTAATATTGGGTAGATATTGAGCCCCTACAGCGATCATAGCAGCAGCAGTCCATCCTCCATGCGGGCAAACATTATGATTAATAATAATAATTTATTTATTTATTTATTTAAAACTTTATTGATTTGTACAATAGGCGGGCTTAATGCTAATAGCATTCTCTACCAGCCAACCTTAGGGAGTGCAGAGATACTCGAAGGCGGTTTCGTTTTAAGAAATTAAATGTAATTATATTAAATAGATATAAGATCATACATATACATGATAATATACTACATACAATAATAAATAATATCTCAGGATACACTATGGACATAGAGTATATACTCAAAACACAGCGCCGTCTATCACTTAATACACGATCAATCTCTGCATAGCGTCACAAGCTAAATAAAAAATGAGTTATAGGTACGATTAATATAAATATTATACATAGATACGTTTTTTTTTTTGTAAATACATTCATAATATATGTAGAAAACAACCAGACCAATCAAACAATCATACTCATAAATATTTAAGTTTGTATCATGCGAGGAATTGAACTGAATCCAAAGTAAAGCCGTGTGCTAAACGGCTACACCACCACGGCTAGGTTATATTTATGTTGAAAATCAGCCTTTGAACGTTGATTGTATCTGACTCGAAGTCATAGCGTGACAGATGCCAGAGAGCCGAGGAAATATAGCTAATCATATCAAACGTAACGGTGACTAGGTCAAATGTATTTGCATTCTATTACGTTACCTTAGTTTTACTTCGATTTTCACTAGCTTGTTTATAGATGTCTATTGTTGATAAAATGTTCAGAAGTTTTCTTTTTACCTGCTACTAGTTAAGTGCAATTTCATTTCTGTAACATTTTCCTCGTTTTGGAAAAAAGTTATACACAAAGTTATACAAGTTATACATATATACACTCCGCTCTATCTGATTATGTTAAGTATAATAATAAGATTTGTATTTTTAATATCATTACGTAGTATTAAACAAAGTCGCTGTCGCTGACAGTCCGTCTATATGTATGCTTAAATCTTTAAAACGCAACGGATATTGAAGCGGTTTTTTTTAATGGATAGAGTGATCCAAGAGGAAGGTTTATATATGTAATACATGTATCGTGCGAAGCCGGGGTGAGTAGCTAGTTAGTAATATTTAGTTATTTGAATACGGATTTATTATTGTTTATAGAATCAGGATTCGAACATGATACAAATATTGAAGAAGCGTTTAGAGAGCGCGATGCAGTCGGAGTTAGAACTGCAGCAGCGCGAACAGCAGCAAAGAGCTCGAGTGACGCAGCTGGAACGCGAACTGCTGGCCACCGAGCGCGACGACGGCTCGCGGCGACAGCTGCACAATGAGGTACTGTTATATGAAATATTACTTGTAGTAGCAATTTTCCGTTTATTTATATTTATATTCTCATTTTTTCGTGCCAATTCGTGCTTGGAAAAGCATACGAGTAAAGGAAGCTAATGGTTTTATTTTTGACAAATATTTTCATTTTATAAACTTAATATCTATGGTAATATTAAATACGAAATAACACGAAATCCAAGTGTAGTAACAAGTAACCAGGGTAGTAAGTAAATCTTGATAAGGATGGCAGTACCGTAGTAATAAATAGATTTTATATAAAGCCGAAATGTTCGAATTTCTGGCGTACTGAAATTGGCCGTTTTTGTTTTTCAATTGCATGTAGCAGTAGTACTATTACCTGAGCGATTAATTTTACTTATTATTTTTTAAACTTTAAAGATTATATGTGGTTATGGGCCGACAACACGGGATATTTCGGTTGTAGCTAATGTCGGTCACTGTGTCAAAAGAAGGGTATATGCTGCAGAGTCCTCGAAAATTCGAGTTGCGTAGTCGTAAATACAGTTAGAGTTTCGTTTAATAATACGCACATTCATTTTCGTCATCAGATGGAGAACAACAATCAATTGAAGAGTGAGATCGCGTTGCTGAAGGCGAAACTGGAGGCAGAAAGAACGCGTGCGGCAGACACGCAAGCACTCACCGAACGAGAGCGTGCGCACGCAGACAGCCAGCGAGAACACGCCGCGCGGGAACTAGCCGCGCTGCGGGCCCGCCTCGCAGAACACCAGCGGTACGCACACACCAACTAACTACTCGTTTTGGATCCGGCGCGAAGGACCACATGTAGCAATTGAGTACAGTAACAGGTTAAAGGGCAACGCCTAGAAACTTGCTCATTGCGGAAATTAATACCAAACCATTCATATTCCTGTGCCCCAATTTGATAATGGTTTGGTTTCATGTTTTTTTTTATAACCTTTTTTTACATAATTCTTTGTAGCATGCAAATATATAGCGTGTGAATAAAATTATTATTTATCTGTTGTTGTTACAAGGGTTTGTTTAAATTTTGGCTCGTAAGAAATATTCGTTACACTTCTCTTTCTATAGGTAATTTGCCTTAACTCGACAAACATTATAATAATGTAACGTACATGATTGTAATCATTATCTATAGCGGTCTTTGAAAAACTGATCACTTACAATTTGCTAACAATAAATACGTCATAGACATATAAAAAGCTGGCATATTATTCTTAAGTGAATTTTTTTGCCCTCGATAATCAGATTGAAGCACGAGTCGGGAGTGGAGCTGGTCCGCGCTAAGGAACTACTGCAGACCCAGAGCGCCACCATCAGCGAACTGGAGCGACAGCTGGTCTCCGCCCGCCGCCCCTCCACGCAAGTCACGCATGCGCTGGTACTTACCGTTACCACTGCTACTAGTGATTTTATTATACTGCACACACACAATCTAATCCGGCTCGAAGGACTAAACATGTCAGACATTAAGGTTCTCTAAAAATTACAAGCTTTCATCTATATAATATTACAGACTACCTATTCCTGACACCAGGCGGTTTGCTTTGTAACGACTACGTAACAAATATCCTATATAAATAAAACGTTTTGAAATTGACCATAGGAAACCTATTTACCTATGTTAGGTAAAATTATAGGTTAGTTCTTTCCCACCGCTGCCCATCAACCGCTTTCTGTTCTTACCTAATGGTTAGCTGGTAGAGAATGCCATATGGCATTAAGCTCGCCAAATTGTACAATTTTTAAAAGTGCAATAAAGAATAAATTAAATTAAATTATAGGAAAGTAAGTTTAGGAAAATCAAATATGAATATAGTCTTCATGAATGTGTACAGCATGTAGGTGAGGGACCCGGACCTTCAAACTTTATTGATCTAAAAACTAATATATACGTTTCTTTCTTACGAAATTATAAATATTAGGAATATGTATGTGTCATTAATAATAATAATATTAGAACAATTCACACAGACCTAGTAGACCGATCATCAACCATCTAGACCCAAGTTAAGCCAGCTATAGCCTGTGTTGTGGGTACTAGATAACAGATACAAATACATAAATTTTTGTTTTTCATAAGCACATACATATTATACATAGACACACCATAAGTACAGTCAACCCTCCTATAACGCGGTGAGTGCGTACCGCGTTGTATGGAAACCGCGCTATAAGAAACTCGGATTTAACCGTACAAACCAGGCTAATTCGTAGCGCGTTCTATGGAAACCGTCTATCGCGTTGTATGGAAACTGCGCTATAAGAGACTCAGAATAAGTACAAATCACATCATTCGTACCGCGTTATATGGAGACCAATAAATACAAAAGACAAGATAAATTATAAATTATTTTTATTGAATTGAAGAGTATGAACTCTTCAATTCAATAAAAATAAGGCAATGATGAAAAAAATGAAACAAAAACTAAACTAAAAAACTGTTTTCCAACAAAAACAAAAGAAAGACTTTTGTAAAATGATGTAATCTTTCAACACTCATCCTCACTGTCAGATATGAGTCGCCTAACTCGCCTTCTTTTAATGGGCAAAATGTCTTCCCCACTTGGTTGATCTTCACATTGGTTTTAAGCGGCTAAGACATAAGCAGAACGTAGTTTTTCTATAGTTCACGCGACAATGTAGTCAAAAGATCACATATATATCTTTCATGTTACAGTTTCGCATCGACAGCGTGCCATGCGTGTGTGTGTCTAACGAAACTATTTAGTTAATAGAAGTGGAAGATAGCGCATGAGGAGCCCCACCCGTGAACCACGCTGATATAAACATATCCAGTTAAAACCATTCATTGGGTGCACGGAAAGAACTGATGGGACGTTGTTGAACGGAAACCGCGCTGTAAGAGTACCGCGTTATAGGAGGGCTGTCGCAATTTCAGCTCCGCGTTATATGGAAACCGCGTTCTGAGAGTACCGCGTTATAGGAGGGTTGACTGTATATACATATTATATATAGAGAACACCCAGATCGATACAAACAATCATACAAATGTTTGTGCCTAATAAAACATCGTTTTAAAATACCTTTAGTGATATAATCAATGTGTTTTGACAACAGACAGAAATCGAAACCCAAAAAACGGAGCTGGCGCGCGAGATCTCGACTCTAAAGAAATGTCTGCAAGACACCAACAGCCCGGAGATTGCAGAGCTGCGCGCTGAACGAAAGCAGCTGCAGGACCAGCTCAAAGCGCTGCACCGGGAACTGAACCAGCGCCCGCCCACCGACGACAGGGACCAAGCGGTCAGTTGGAACATTACAATCATTATTATACAATAGATACTTGTCAATATTTGAGTTTATTTAACTACAATCTACTATCTGACCCGTGCAACTTCTGCATCTCTTACTTGATATTTATCGTTATATTTCGTCCAATTTACATAATATCTGTTTAAATTATAGCCTATGTGTTATTCTGATATATAAGCTATATTACTGTAAAGTTTCATCAAAATCCGTTGAGTAGTTTTTGCGTGAAACAGTAACATCCATCCATCCATACTCACAAACTTTCGCATTTATATTAATAAGGTTTTAGTTTATATAAAATTAGTCACGATGATTTCATTCCATTATATTTTTAAGGGACACAGTGACACTACATTTATATATGTTACTGTGTTAGTTGACCATACTACTCTGAAAGAGGTTAATCGTTTTTGATGAAATTTAGGTTTATATGTACTCTTTTTAAACCACTAAAGTGAAAAAGGTCCACTAGATTTTTTTTTATATTTTATGACAAGACTTATACTTTTTATGATGCGGTATTAAGAAATATATCACTCCTAAATTTTCACCCTTCTTCTACCAACCCCTATTTTTTAATAGCAATATTATTTTACATGGCAAAGAGAAGTTTTCTGTGTTACAAACTTAAACTACGTTTTGGGAATCGGTTAGGTATCTTGGAGCTTATCCATAAAAAATGCTTAAATTAAGTTTATTTGTAGAAAGGATTTTCTATTCTACTCTAATGCTGTTGGCCGCAGCTGGCCTTTACAGCTTCACCGGACGTTAGGGGGCGAGTGCAGATGGCACTCCAAACCCGCGGAAGGCCAACTCCTACATGACGCATACGACTTTAGTCTGAGGGCACCACTAGAGGTTCGAACCTCCGCTCAGGACGTCGTAATTTGGATCCCCGTTTGAATTGGACGGGGGATCGATCATTCTGTAAATAAAATAAAAGACAAATGATAAAGAAGGTATATATAATACGACAAGAAATTATTTTCAAAAATACGACAGTTATAATGTATAAATTTGCATAATAGTGTGTCCTAAAATCAGTCATCCAAACTTATGGCTTTTCAATACTATTGCTTCTATTGATTTCTTCAACGTAATTGGTAATCCTCGATTCCATCTCCATCACGCTTTGTTTCTCGTCCAAATCGGAGCATAGAGGTTCGATGAACCATAAAGCAACGCAATAGAGTAGGTACAGGCTGAGGTATAGAGTATAGAGTAGGCTGGTGACGCAGGCGAGCCCTATGGGGTAGATCCGGTGGTTCAGATCCGTTTCCGTCCTCCACGACTCTTCGGTCCACATGCGGAAGTACTGGCAGAAGTTTCTAGAAGTGTAGAGAATAAATGTATTAGAGTACATATTGTTTTATTGTAGTCGATAGATTGGTAGTGGTAGTGAAATAACAACTAGGAAGTATAAACATATTTATTAACAAAATTTAAATGATTGTTTTTAAAATAGCTTTGTAATTGACAGAAAGGAAATAAGATAATATATTGACGGCTTCGGTGCTAGCGGTTTTGCACACCGACTTTCGCACATCTCGGGTTCGATACCTCGCACGGAACAAACATTTGTAATTATTGGTATTATTATTGGTATGCGTCTGTGTGTTTACTATGTATTTACAAAACAAAAATGTATCTATGTAAAATAATATATCAGTTGTTTAGTACCCACAACACAATCTGCTTATACTTATATATTGGGACTAGATGTTGCTGTGTGAAATTATCCTGAGATATCAGCATTACATAGTATGAAACAAAGTCGCTGTCGCTGTCGCTGTTTGTCCATCCTGTCTATGTATGCTAGAATCTTTAAAACTACGCAACGGATTTTGAAGAGGTTTTTTTAATAGATACGAGTGATTCAAGAGGAAGGTTTATATGTATAATACATGTACACCCGGGCGAAGCCGGGGTCAGTAGCTAGTTATTATAATATAGAGATATCATGAGATATTCTTGATTCAATGCGGATCAGAAATCACTCAGCATTTTACGTGTATGGTGGAGATGCAGAGAAATATAATGAAATGTATTAGGTAGTGGTGATAGGGTGGTAGGTCACCTGAGCGGTGGTAGCGTGCGGTCGAGTAGTGCCGCGGCGCAATGTAGTGCGTGGGTGACCACCAACACCACCACCCACGCGCACACCAAGTACGGCGGCCAGCGGAAGCTGCCCAGTGCAGCTGCAACACATTTATAATATACGGAACCCAACACAGTTTAGATTATATGCTTGTATTTAGTTATAGAATAGAATAGAATAGAAAATCATTTATTCAAATAAACTTAATTTAAGCACATTTGAATAGTCAACATTTTTTTAAATCTACCGCTTATTCGGAAAGCTGTCTCATCACAAGAAGAATAAGCAAGAAACTTGTGTGTTGCTCTTTTAAACAATCCTTGTAAGTTCACATTTTACAAGTCGAAACGTGTGAATATAAACTACCAACCAGCACTAATTTATTTAGGCTCAAACATAAAAACACAATAAGATTAAATCAGTCGTAGTGATAAGAGCAGACCAGTCCCTACAAGCAGCACTCGTTCACGAGTATGACGGATGAGCCAGCCATCACTGCGCTCGACCATATTTTAGGGAGCCCAATGACCCGGCCCACCACGCCGCCACATGTCTGGACATTTTACTGAGCATGACTACTCATTTTACATAGATACTTTTACACGTAAGGTAGTTCACGTGCGAATCTGTTTTCAAGCAGGAAAGAATGTTCTCGTAAATATAAACAGAGAGATCGCGTGCGTGCGTGGATTCTCGCATCCTTTAGCGTGTTTTAACGCCTTGTAATAATTCAGAGTAAGTAAATTTAAGTAGATTTCATTCAAAATAGCATAATGCAGTCGGTTACGATTGCGGGCGCTGGCCCTTTACACGGCACGTGTCGTGTAAAGGTACCTAATAGTTGAGGGATGCAGTGAATACAACGGTGAAGTACCTCGTAGGAGCGCGGCGTTCCCCCGGCCGCCCCGCGCCTCCCCCGCGCCCTGCACCGCATGCTCCGACGCTGCCCGCCTCCTCTCCCACCGCTCACACCGCTCAGCCCGCTCAGACCGCTCAGACCGCTCAGACCGCTCCGACCGCTCAGCCCGCTCAGACCGCTCCGTACGAGACGACTGCAGTCGATACTCATTTACATATACATTATTTATGCGTATATATAAATAAACTTTAAAAATCACTAGTTCTTACAATAAAAGTCACTACTCTAATTCATGTCAAAAATTGAAACGGTCCAGCCGTTTAGTCGTGAAAAGGTTAAACACTTAATATAATTTTTGTATGGATTTATAACATACACATATGGAATCAACAACTTATAGATAAATAGATAGATAGATAAAAATTTTATTCACGTTAAAGTTAACTTATACATACGATACGTCCGTGTAAAAAAACTAATAATATTTTTTTTTTATATTTCATCCTATATTTACATTTTACATTATTCCCTGGTATCTGAACTAAGTAGAAAACTACATTTTAAGTAACCTAATAATATACAAACACTCGCTAACTCCGCAAACTCCATTCCGCCTCAGAATTAAAGGAGTTTAGAAGTTTAGTTACGCAATACATTCTAAACGCACTCTGTTTGACAATTTGTATGGGAAAATAAAATTGTTACTTTTACTTAATTTGTATTAGAATAGAATAGAAAATCATTTATTCAAATAAACTTACATTGAAGCACTTTTGAATAGTCATAACATTTTTTTTTTTAATCTACCGCTCATTCGGAATGCTGTCTCATCACAAGAAGAACAAGCAAGAAACTTGTGTGTTGCTCTTTTAAATAATTTATTCTTACTTACAATTTAAGTTTAAGTGTGTGAATACAAATTCTTCTCCATGCAATTTCTTCATATTTTATCACCGTTTAAACCTTCCCTGGACTTCCACGAATATTTCAAGACTAAGATTAGCCAAATCGGTTCATCCGTTCTCGAGTTTTAGTGAGACTAACGAACAGCAATTCTTTTTTATATATTTAGATAGGTAGAAAATTCCATACCGTGGGCGATATTCTCGCGTACGATATATGATTCGGTACGCTGGGCTTGTCTTTCTTGATCGTATCTTTGATGTCGAGTTGCAAGTCGCGCACAACTCCGTTCAACTCCGTTTTCGTTATGGATGGATGATCACCGCACATGCTATAATAACAATATCTCAAGACAATTCACACAGCGCCATCTAGTCCCAAGCTAAGCTGAGCTTATGTTATGAGTATTAAATAACTGATACGTATGCATACATACTATTTTTGGAAATACATACGTAATATAAGAAGAAATAACCCAGACTGATACAAAAAATTGCTTGTTTGACTCACCTGATGGTAAAAGATTACCATCAGGTAAGCAAGCTCGTTAAGTAATACTATAAATGTCTTATTAATATTATAAAGCGAAAGTTTGATTGTACAGATGAATGTTTGTTAGTCTTTCACGCAAAAAATACTAAAGGATCTTTAGAGTTGATTTTGAAATCTATTTCCAAATATTTACCCATTTTACTCAATAAAAAAATTGATTAAATTATACATATTTTTTTAATAAGATAGAAAACCATTGCAGTGCAAATTTAGCTCGAATTCATAATGGTTTAGCGATGCATTGCTTCCGAATTGACGATACGACGTTAGACCATATCATCATCATCTGCTTCTTCCTTATCCCATTTATTTGTGGTCGGCGTAATGTTTTTCTCTTCCATTTATCCCTGTTGGCAGTCATCTCGTTATTTACTCCCTTTCTTACAATATCATCTCTCACGCAGTCCATCCATCTCTTTTTCGGCCTTCCTCTGCCTTTATAACATTAATATGTAACATCTTCCTTAAAATATTATCTTCATTCCTACGCATTACATGCCCATACCACGACAGACGATTACTCTTTAATCTCTCCGACACCGGTGCCACTTTCATACTTCCTCTAATATATTAATTCTTTATCTTATCCATTCTTGTCACACCACAGATTCATCTCAACATTCGCATTTCAACATTTTACTCAATAACAAAATTAATTAAATTATTATTTATTTTTAAAACTCATGCAATGTTTCATTTTAGCTCGAAATTAATAATGGTTTAGTGACACTGCTTCTAAATTGGGGAAACAAACGTAAGACCACTTACACCATATCGGGGAGCTTGGGCGGCTCGTTTTTCGGTGGGTCCATGTCTCCTGGTTATCTCACTGTGCTCTCATCGTATACGCTGGGATTTTTGATATTGCTCACAATAAATTCGCCGGCTGTACATATAAATACTATATTACATCTGTCACTGTGACAAGACACAGTATGTTTGATGGAGATGTCTAAAGCGCATTCTGTTTTTGAAATGACAAATTTAATGAATGAAGAATAATTGAATGAGGTTTGTCTCTAACGAGTTAATGAAGAAATAATATTACCGAGGTATATATTGTGAAATCTCTATAAATATAAGGAATCGTTAAAATACTACCTTAGTCAATCTCAGCCACTGTAATAGAAAATAATTAAAGCAGATAATACAAAAATATTATCGTCATCGATAATATTTATTAATCTTTTTATTTAATTTCTTAATTACAGTTTATAAAACAGTTTTGCAACAAAAAATATATTAATTTAAACAGATTAAACTAAAATATTTACATTATCAATAATTAAACTAATCTTTTCGCAAAAATATTAAAGTAGTTTAAACAGGTTTGCATTGTAATTTTATTTTATATTTATATATTATGTGTACTGTTCATTCGGAATGCAGATTTTGCCAAGACGAATCGGGGTTCCGAACAATAATTATTTCTATATAATAAACATTTGTTTGAGGTGATTTTTGTAGATAGATTTTACTAGATATACTATAGACTCTATAATATCAGTATGTTTTTTTTTAGTCTTTATATTTAGCTCCACGAGTCAAAAATTACGTGAATTAAATTAAGTAGGAAAATAAGAATTTGACTTGTAAAACTTTTTTGTATTAATGATGTGTCTCTCCAACAGATACGGTACCTCCACGGCCGGTGCCTCCGTTTGGAGAGCTGCCGGAAGGCGCTGGTGTGGCAGAAGAGGTACCTGCAGCGGGTGCTGTCCGGGTACGCGGAGCTGGAGAATAAGCTGCGGCTACCGTCCTCGAGGACGGTGGAGAAAAGCCATGGGAAGAAACGGTTCAAGTGAGTACTGGATATTAATAGAAGCTTACCACCCATCTGATGATAAGTTATACCCTTGACTATAGATTTGAACAGCGCTACGGACATCATCGAACTTTGAAGAGAGGAATAGTGCAGTGAAATTACGGATTCTGTTAGATATACTGTCTAATCTTCTGCAGTGACAACGAATGGTCGTGATATTTGTCTGTAATGCAGTACATGTATATAGCGTCATACTCGTGAACGGGTGGGTGGGTTATATAAGTACTGATCAGTGACATTAGACACCGGGTAGAGTGGTCAAGTCGTATATAAGCTATTTTTATACTACTATGATTGCTAGCTTGTGGTCCATCTGATGGTAAAAGGTTATAGTGGCATATGGACGTCTGAATCACCAGGGGTGTCACATGCGCATTGTCGACCCCTAAAGAACATTAATAGACCTATCTTGAAAAATCCATGCTCTAAGGAATCATAATATACCCTTCTTGAAAATTCATGCTGTAGTCTCTAGACAAAACCTCGGCAAGTTGTAAGTAATGACGTGCTTTGTCAGGTGTGTGGCGACTGCAATAGTCATAGTGATCCGCATGGAGTTCCTGGTGCGGCGCCGGCGTCAAGCGCGAGCGATAGCCTCCGCCGCGCTGCTGCAGCGACCGCCCACCGCCACCACCTCCACCACATTCACCACCTTCGCCACACCCGCCACGTGAGTATCTTACGCGCCCATTCCATCACTACTGTTATCATTTTCGGTTTTTGAGAATAATACACAAGATGACTGCCCATGAACAGTGACTCGGACAAAAAGGTAGTATACGAACAGCCTGCAAACGGAACGGGCGAGTCGTGTTTGATATTACGTCTCAAATATCTAAATATATATAACTCAAAGGTGACTAACATAGTGATCTATCAACGCACAGCCCAAACCACTGGACGGATCGGGCTGAAATTTGGCAAGCAGGTAGATGTTATGACGTAGGCATCCGTAAAGAAAGGATTTTGATTAATTCCACCCCTAAGGGGATAAAATAGGGGATGAAAGATTGAATAAATCTTATTATTTTTGACTGATTAAACTGAAATGAAAGATTGGAGCTACTATGATGAAGACGTTCGCTTAAATAGGATTTTGAAAATTCAACCCCCATGGGGATGAGTTTGAACCTATCAGTACCTAATGGTACGAATAAATTAAGACGAACAAAATAATTTTTAGTTCTTTAGGCTACTTTTATTTTAGAAAAAGAAAGTTAAATTCCACGCGGACGAAGCCGCGGGAACAGCTCGTTGTTTTATAATTTACGACAAACAATATTGCTATATTTTTTAAACAATGTCCATGTACAATATATAATAATTCATTAATGATCAGCTGTTAGACTGGTCTTTGCTCATAAGAGGAGATGCTATTATTATGCCAAGCCTTGTATTATTATGCAACTGAGCTTGGTGTGGGGATTTACTTTTGAATTTTGTTTCTCTTTATTACGTACAATATGCATTATCACAATATGATTCTCATGACATCCCAGAGTGAATCCAGACAAAAATATATAAAGATATTTTCTTGTAATAAAGAAAAAAATTAATACCTTCTTTTCTTTATTACAAGAAAATACCTTTTTTTTCTTTGTTATAAAAAAAATAATACCTTTTTTTTCTTTATTACAAGAAAACACCTTTATAAAAATATTTTTGTCTGTATAGTTAAAGTATATCTCCCGTCATATTTAGTATTAGTTTTATTCCAATTGGCTCGCAAACGAAATTGTTAATTAAAGTCACGTGTTCAGCTAGTAAATAATAGTGGTGGTCGCGTCGCAGTGCAGGTCCGTTCGCGTCAAATTCTCCAGCGGCGTTCCAGCAGCGAGGGGCTGCCTCCGCCGCAGCCGGAGTAGGACCAGCAACGGGCTCGCGGAGACTTCTCAAGCACGAGCTGCGGCTCAACCTCCCACCCTCGCCCACAGGTCTGTAATATGTTTTTATTGTCCGGTAGAAAATTTCCAAAAGGGCATCCCCGTCAGAGGGTTTTTTTTTTGTATATGATAATGACGAATGCAGCTCAACCTGCACCCGCCTGCGCTAACGGTTTACGCTGGCGGGGCACCGAGCTGCGGCTCAAAGCCCACATGATAAGATGAGAATGAGGTCAGCACGAGCTCAGTCAACCTAGCCCATCGTGATAATTTCACCCTGCAATGGCAATGGGGTCGAGAGTCCACATTACTAACAATCCCTGCGGCTCCCCCCCCCCCCCGTAGGTCCGTCAGAGGCTTGACGAGGGCGTGTGGGATTCTACCCACTTGGACCCACTAAAAACATAATGTTCCTACTTTATACGCTTATATATTAGAGGATTAGTATATCCTCTAATTTCCTCAAAACTTGAATAAAAAATATCCAGTATATTAATTTATTTATTATTTTGCACACAAAATTGTATGGCGAACTTAATGCCTAATGGCATTCTCATGGTCTCGTTGATTACAGATAATAAGACGGTACAATTTAATAAGTTAGATATTATTGAGATATAAAATTATATATGTGTTAATAGAAAAAATATATAATATAAATGTATATCTAAATCTATATCTTAAATGGTATGTTTATTAATATTTGTTAAAATACAGTTGGCGAGTTCACACGACGGTCACCGTACAGCGCAAGCACGCCTCATGAGGAGCCGTTCATATTGAGGTTTGTTCGCCATGCTGTCCTTTTTTTGTTACTTTCGGTTGATATTGTTGCGTTCCAAAAATAAATAAATATTGTATGGGTTAATATAAGTATTTTGGTTTAATTATTTGACAATAAAATACAAAATATACCCAAAAATAAGCCTAAAATCACCTGTTACTATGTATTTACTACACAACTGAACAATAGTTATGCATTCTTTAATCTAAATTTGGACTCTAATAAATTAGTGCTAGTTAGTTGGTAGTTTGTTCTCACACAAAGTAACAACAATTATTTAAAAAACGACTATACAAAAGTGCTTATATATAAATTTATTTGAAATAAATAATACATGATATAGTTGGTATGTCGGACAGTTCGCCCCGCGGTGAAGTGGCGGCGGCGTACCTCAGCAAGCTGGAGCTGGTGAGTCGCTGCCTCACGCGCGCCGTGGACGCCTCCAGGGACCTGCCTTGAACTGCGCCGCGCTCCACCGGCGCTGTCGGTCTGCCTTACCTTGTTCATCCACACGTAATGCCAATCTGCCTATTCTCGGTCCATCTCGCACGTTATACCGCCACGCGTTGTCGATTCTATTAGCGGTATGGTTCGTTTAGCGTTGTCAATTTGACATACGATGTAGATTTGACTGGTGTAGGTGGAGCTCGACGGGTTAATTCGCATTGGACAGTAATACATCGCGAGTTGACTTGCGTTGTTGGTTGACTCCGCCTTAGTAATCCTGTATTGGGTTGTTGGTCCGCTCCGCGCTGTTGGTCCACCTTTCGAGCACGCACTCGCGTTGTCGATTGTGATTGGCTACTCGACCCCGACGCCATTTTGTTTTAACACGGGCGACAGGCCGCGTCGAATGTTCAATTTGAAGAATAAATGTCGTCATTCATAGACTTTAATTTTTTTTTTAATAATAATATGATCTCAATAGAATGCGTTAATTGCCGCGTCGCGTTGATTCATAAATCAGGTTTTAATACAAAGAAATTACAATCTTAGCTCAATTATTAATAGAATACCTTTTACCTTGATATCGGTAATGCATAGCTTCCGTCTATAAAAGTTATATACATGCTATTTGTAATGTATAAAAAAATTAATCAATATATAAAAATTTTCAAATTGACACTTGGACGCGGCCGATCTCCCTCGCATTTCGAAGTATAAAACCCATGCATTTGTTATTGGCAGATAGTATAAGTATTAGATTAGTGCCAAACCTTATTTTGAATTACTTAATTTATTCATTAGCGTATTTACGTGTCGGAGCATGAAATTCCATGACTTCTCTTGTATTCTATTGTTGACACTCCGCCTATTTTTTATTTCGTGTGGATCATGTGTTGAACGAGTTACCGCCATATTTTGTTTAAAAATGATGCTATTACTTCATTATTGCTTTCTAATTTATAATTTATGTTATTTCTAAAATGTGACGACTCCGTAGCGAGTCAGTTTAACAAAAGAACCAATAGATGTCGCTGTTTCTGTTTTTAAGTTTTGTTACTTTCAATTGGCTAGATACGAGTTTATCTTTCTAGAAAGTTATCTACGTGAAAAAGTCCGTTATATTTTTGCTGTTAAGCAGATTTACAAGATTTATTCCGAGGGAAACTTGGACTTCAGTACCACGCATAATTTAATTAATTTCTCACCATTTTTAGATATATATATAAGATCGAGTAAAGCAAGGCGTGTAGTGAGTCCATAATATAACGTAATAATAAATAACACATTATGACGTCATATCCGGTGACTTGCCACTTGTTTACCATTCCAGCTATATACCAATCATGTTCAGCCAAACAATTTTTTTTTAATATTACGCTCTTGCTTTCCATAGACTATTAAGTAAATGCCCTTTTGCGTTTAGTTTTAGATTTTTTTTTTTCTTTCTTTCACCTTCTCCACGAAAATATTATATTAAGTATGTGTGTTAAGCATTAAACATTAGGATTGGAAATTCATACATTTTGGTTGTTTTGTTATAAGTATTTGCTACGGAATCTGTTAAACGAACAGTATTATGGCGTAACAATAATGAATACGACACTTAGATGTAAATTTCAGTCTTCGAGACACCTTTTGTCGTCCGTACTTGCCTTAGAACTAATTATAACATACAGACAAACATGTAGATATTTAAATAGTTGTAAAATTAGTTGTATTTTCAGATTATTTATTCGTTTATGTAAATAGTATTGACATGTTTTCCATTATGACATCGTATTAGTAGGTTTAGTTCGAGTTCTCGTGTCGACTTTTGATGGTATTTTTTTTTATTACATCCCTCGTAGTATTTCTTATGAGAGAGAGTATAATGAATTGTTCTTATAATGTAATTATATCGAAATCTCCATACATATTTAAACATATTAATTTGCGTTAAATTTCATTTGGTTATTGATTACATTTGCAAATTCAGAGCATAAAGTTTTGCTTTTTGTGCCAAAATATGCATATCGTATTTTTCTAACCTAAGTCAAATTCTAAAACGTAAACTGATGCATTCATAAGAAACATGGAAACAAATAATAAATCATAATTATGACTGATCTGTCACTTTATTAAAAATTGACTTGAAAACCATTTTATTTACTTATCTATCTATTAATACGCGAAACATAAATTTTGTACCGATTTTCACGAAAACCTTCGCGGATGGAAAAGTATGAAATTTCACACACTTATACTTATATAGAGGAGTACAGAATGCTAATATTTTTATTAAATTATCCAATAAAAATACATTACACACATTACCATGTATTTGACACATATATACTCTTTTGTTTATTGTTTAAGTCTATGGTCAAATTAAGAATATTATTTTTTGTCTATGATCTTATAAATGTTAAGTTAATTATGGTCACATTTCGACCACTTTTAGTTCATTACATATTATTAGACCATTTATTAATACGTTTCATATATTTGGAAATAAATAGAATTACAAGCGCAAGTCGATACGGGACATTTCATAGTTTTATATAATTTTATGATAGCACAATACCATCTCATCGTATAATGTAGTAACAGTATGGTTGGACGCACGAAAGTACAATTTAGTGTTAAGTTAGTTACGACACGACTAGTCGATCGATGCAACTCGAAACGTGCAAAATTGTATGTGTAGCTGTTACGGCACAGTTTAATTAACACCATAGACAATGTAAAACTGCAGTTCCATTGACACTATAGACAAAAAACTGCTTATAGATCTATGAGTATCACTGTACTGCGGAAACTATGTTTAATATAAACAGAATTTTGAAATGTTCTAGAAAATAATTAATTCTATTGCATGATAATAAGACTGTTTTTTAGTTGTGAGTTGGGTGATTCTAGCAATTGAAATTGAATTCAATAATTCATTGAAATGTATAGGTAACTGTATATATTATTGTTCTTATTCTATTTAAAGTTCGAGTTTGAAAAAAGAGTTCAGCTGGATTGAACATAAGATAGTGAATACAAAAAAAAGAATTTGATATATATTTAAGACTAGCTGTGCCGGCGGTTTTATCCGCGTGAATTTCCCCATTATTTGTATAGTGTTATTCTGATGTTTAACCTATATTATTGTAAAGTTTCATTAAAGCCTATTCAGTAGTTTCTGCGTGAAAGATTAACAAACATCTATCCATCTACATTCACAATCTTCTGCGTTTACAGTATTATTATATATTTAATATATGTTCGCAGTACAGGTGATACATATTAGTATATTGTTGTTTGTATCGCACACCACACGTTATTATTATGCACGAATAAAGAGAAATAATATTTTTATTCTATACATTAGACATTGTAGAAAATATTATTAATAAATCCTACAAAATATTCTGTATAAAAAAAAATAACCATATTGAGGTTATTGTAAACTTACTTTCTATAAATTTACATATGCTGTAATCAAATTTCAATCTTATACTATTAATCATAAGGTCATATTTTATTATGACTTTTTACATTCACATATACAGTATTCAAATGTCAATGTTATATTAGGAATCATAAGGTTATAACCTAGTTTTCGCAATTCAATAATTTTTGATGTATTTAGGAATGCTTAATACTTGTACCAGAGTACATATTATATTCGACTGGTGTTACAAATAATAATGAAACCTAAACATATGTATCCACAGATACAATTTAACTGACTGCACCTAATGTCCTTTGGTCTTTTTGTCATATTTAGTAGCTGTGGATACACCTTTACAGCTACACATATATTTTTGTTATACATTGTAGAACAGCCGGTATTAATCAGCGATCATTTGAAAGATGTAAAATTTATATAAAAACGATCAGTTAGTTAATATCGTCTGTGAATAGTGAAAGGATATTTTTGAGGTACGCGACTAAAGCAGATTAAACATAATTCAAATTCAAAATGTCAAATCTACCGTCAGCTCGAAATGATTTCGAGTTAAGAACTGACAAGAAACTCAGTTCTTATTGTTTTCAAATGGGCTTGTACAATTACAAAAATAAATATTAACTTACTGGTTTTTGGTATCGACCACGTTTGATCTTACGACCTTAAAAACTAGAAGTCATTTTAATAAATACCAACCAAGAAGTCATAAGACCTTAGTTTTAGAAAGAGAAGTAATGAAAGTCATGTTCTCTATAATAGACAGAGATCGAGTCGATCTTCTGTCTCATTCTGGCTATGTTCTGTCTCAGTCGCGCACCTCAAATACCTAAACGATAGACAATATTGTGCAAGCCAAAGTAAACGAAAGTATTACGAATATTGTATATATAGAGAGGATTCCATATTTTTACATGTAATTCTTTGACGCATTGGTCTGTTTGTACTGTTGTAATCTATCTACAATTCCAAACATAATCCCTTTTATATATATACCTCCCTTATTTATAAAAACTATAGTCTCTTAATCAACCAGTGTTCCATAACAATGACTAGAAAAAAATGTTTTTTGTCTCTTTCTTAATTAAGAATATAGCTTGAAAGAAAAGGAAGAATTCAAAAGCTAAGAATATAGTGTAAGTTATTAGATTTTTAACTTTTTTTATGAAGGAAGTAGATTATCTAGTTTTCGACTGAATTTTCGCTCCCTTTATAAAATATTCCCTTTATAATAGATTATAAAATATCTTAAGTGTTTAAGATATAGAGACTTGGTTTCGATCGTTAAAACTGTATCAGTCTGACACTAGTTGCTGTATAATATTTTTTTTTATATAAAAAAAAGATATGTTTGTTTCAACGATTTATTAGTGACTCCGAAATCCCATGATTTATTTCATTCTTGTAATAAATAATAATTAATATATCATAATTAATATTTTGTCCACCAACTTTTGACATATTTAATTTAGAGACGACATCTTGAATGAATCTTTATTGTTCCTCTCACAGAAAATACAATTACATATACAATTATGTATAAAATGATAAAATAAATATATAATACAATAAATAAACAAACATCTTATACGATTTTTTTCCATTAACATTATTAACTGTTTATCTAATTTTGGAATTGTAAATAGAATAAGTTGGAAAGTTTTTCTTTATGTAAAAACCACCGTTGATTATAATCTACACTCAAAACGACCAAAGATTTGATAATATTAGTAAGTGCTAGTTTAATTTCGACTTTAATTATTGTATTGTTAAGAAATATCACCGAATTAGGACGTATTTCAAACATTTATTACTGTTTTCACAATAAATTTGATATCCACCATTGTTTCTAGTCACACGATAACGTAAAAATCACACTCGTGCCATAAACAAACGCTCTCTATGTTTAAAAGAATAGACATACACGTTCTAAAGTTGATATGAATAAAGATATTATTTTGTAAATGTTCTTGGTTTTATTTCATCACTGCTACTTGAGTTCGCAGCGACAGCTCTCGACCGGACATGGGACCGCAGTTATGGGCGGCAGATTAAGGTCATGCTGTTGAAATTACAAATGTTAGAAATTGGACGGTGAAGATTTCTAGTTTTTATTTAGAAAATTGTATAGATACAACAACATCATCGCAGCCCGGAAGACGTCCACTGCTGGACACAGGCCTCCTCCGTTTATTATATACATACAATCTTAAGAAATTACAATGTTAGAACCTGGACGCAGACTATTAAGGCTTTTTTTGGAAATTTATATACATATCTCCTCAATTAACACACAAATTGAAAACAAATAAACACTAAAAAATATACCACCATCTTGTCAATTCTTGAAATAATTTAAGTATTATCCAATAGCAAATTGGATACTGTATTATTTTTAATGAGTATATCTTATTCGGTTATTGATACCCTGGTACGAACAATAGAAGATAATTACATATAAAAAATGTGTAGGTGTAACAACGTTACTTTCGACTAAAACGACTACACAGAATAAACTTTCGAAGCAACACCATTCAAAGAGATATTTTTTTGTGTTACAAAATTAAGCAACATTTGCACTCTATATACTAAACAGCTGATAGTAATATTAAATACATACATACAAAATGACTCTACAGACAAGATATCAAAAAATACAAAGCATTGTATTGTTAGAGAATCGAACTCGCTCCCTACCAATGAGATAAGGCTGGTAAGGTTCTAAACTGCGCCCACCGGGGCCGTAAGTTACTAATATTATCTTATCTGTAATAGACTTCGTAACTACGAATTTACAGCTAATACAAAATTAAAATTACTATTCAGAGAATTCTTTTGTAGTATGAAAATATAAATTAAATCTGTAATAATTACTTGACCGTGCCTCCTCTGTAGTCCATTAGCCCGACCCTGCCTTTTGTAGTCATCGTTAGATTTTACCTCTTTCTTCTCGACCTGCTTAGAACGTCCACCCTGTTTACAAATAATTAATACGTGAATTTTTAATACATTATTATCCATTACCTCGTCCCCGCAGCGTTGCGTGACCCAAATGATAAGTACCTTTTCTATATTGTAATACGTTATTATAAAAAAAACTATTAATATATTATAAACAGGGAAAATTTTATTGTTTGCATTGAATAGACTCAGAAACTATTTTACTATTAGTTTCCTATATTGTCCCTCATGAAAATCGGCAACAGAATATTTTTAAAAAGTTAGCGATCCGACTGATTACCTTCATAATATTTTTTTCACTTGATGCGTTACTCGCAAAAATACCACTAGAGTCATATATTTAAACCCAAAATCTAATGGTTAAAACTCCGATTGTGATGTCATATATTATTGTAGTTTTCAAAGATTTTAAATTCGTAATAATATGAAGCTATCTTCAAACCGTACCTTTTCAATCTTTTGTAAACCATCCCTTTTGCCTTCAATCCTATCCGGTTGATCCTCTAGATCCAGTGCATCTAATCCATGGTCTGGAGGTGGCGGAGCTGGTGCGGTGTACGAAGGATCAGGCTTAGAGCCGTCCCGCGGAGCATACGACTTGAAGTGTTCCTGCAGAGACGCTGGTAGATCCGGCATTGGATATAGTCGATACAACTTGCAGTAACGCTGAATCACAAAACTTCATTTAGAATATGCTGAATACCAATATTTCAGATAAAATACGCTGAATAACAATACATAAGTTAGAATTTAACTACTCAGTACAGCACAGGTCCCAATAATGTACCCTGAGGTACAACAATTTAATTTAAAATTATATAAACTAAATCTATCTCAATAAATAACTGAACTATAATATTAATTTGTTTAGATTAATGTATGGCAAAAAATTTACTAACTTCAAATAATAAACTATACATACCACCTCCGAGGCAGTTGACCAAGTAGGCAGTCAAATTACTCCTCATTTCAGTTCGATAATAAGACCACTGAAGCCGCTTACCACTGAGGAGGCCATGGGAAATCATTCCCAATTTCAGTTACATAAATAAAATACGGTAGTGTACGAACATCGATGGTTCTGCGCAGCGGTCGATCGGGTCGCTGATGACGACGCGCTTCTTGTAGCAGATAGTCTGCATGCGTCAGCAGCTCGTTGTCTGCGTCACGAATTTTCTGCTCTGCGTCTGCCCCGTAGAACTGCCGCGTCTCTGCTAGAGACTTAGCTTCACGCTCGTTACGCTCACGCTGCGAATTTTTACAATAGAATTACCGTGGGGAAGGGTATTAAAAACAATAGAAATAGAAATAAACTTTATTAAAGAAAACTGAAGATAAGTACTTTAGAATATATATTTTATATGGCATATCTTTTTATATAATATATTCTCTTTTATAAGGCATATCTTTTTGATTCTACCACTCATTCGGAACGCAGACTAATCACAACAAGAACGAGCAAGAAACTTATGTGTTGCTCTTTATAATAATTATTTAATAAATTAACACAGTAACAAGTAGAAGGCATGCGGTTATCAACATAGATTGTTAGTAATGTGGACTGATGACACCATTGTTAGCAATGTACCATGTTAAGTTGACCTCCATGTTCTGGAAACCATCGTGAGAAGTTCCTAAAGGGCAGGTTTACGTTGGAGGAATTTGCCACGATCTGTGGACACCGCCCCGAGCCCAAAAATTCACTGAATTGGCGAAGGACCATTTGGCGAATGGACCTTACCTCATGTACATCTTATCATCCTCCACTGGTGCGCCGCCAGCGTCATCGAGGTCATCGAAATACCTAAACTTTCAACATACCCACAACTTGAGAATATCTTCCCTGTACACTTTTATTTTGCGGTCACGGTCTTGTTTGAACTTCTGTTGGAAGTCTTCGTACAGTTCCGCATTCTTGAACCTAAAACCATTTGATATTCAATTTTAATTACAATATTGTAGCAATTAAACGTCATACGATTGAAAAAAAATATTAAGACAAAATATTCACTTCTAAAATATTCAACATTGATTTTTTTAATTTCAATAGAAGTCAAAACATGTGAAAGGTGAATAAATAGATAGCTTTTGTAGAAAACAAAAGCATTTAACACTCTTTTATTTAACAGTGATTGTTACCAATACTCAATACCACCATTATTATTACCACTTACCATCAGGTGGGCAGTCAGTGTGTTTGTCAGTCCAATTACATAAAAAACTTATTAGCTGTCTGGTCGCTAGTTAAATAAATTAATAAAGCAAATAGCAGCTGTTCAAACAGATAAGAGATAAACACATTTCCTGTATTAATAAAACCACTTTAGTAAAATTTTTGCCCGAATGTAATATTATATTGTATTAGTTTTAATGTCACACTTGTTCACATAATTTCGTTCTACGTATAACAACGTAGGTCGAATTTAATGAGTCACCACTTTTTTCCAACTTATGGACATCATAGTTCACATCATCACAACACAACCATCATCAAGGTAGGGGCGTTATCCGTCAGCTATATCCTTCCGGTTGAAAACTTTTAAGATGATTTTAAGATGACCTGCTGTTCTGAGAGTGGGTTGAGGAGTAGCAGATGTCGGACAAAGATATAAAAAGAATTCAGTCATATCCTTCAGGTTCAGATTTCTATCAAATCATTAAGTTAGTTAAAGTTAAATCTATATATTGAAGATAAAAAACAGTCAGTAATAGGGTAAAAAAATTCATGATCTCACTCCAAAATTTAGATTTTTTGCCAAAGTGTACCTGTTCATAATCTCCCACTGTCGCATCGTGTTGAACTCGTGCAGCCGTTGTTCCTCGTCGCGTAGGTATTTTTTCCTGGTGTCTATCCTGTCTTGTTGGAATTGCGCCTTCTTACGTTCCTGAGCCTCGCGACGTGCCTCAGCTCTGTTCAAGGTAAAGCATTTCGTATTTAGTAACTTAACTTGTCACTTGTAGAGTGACTTGCTAGTACTTCTCAACTGAGGGAGCTAGCCGAACCGAGTAATTATGTAGTATTTAGTAACTTGTCACTTGTTGTCCGTACTTCTTAACTCTCTGGGAAAATGTGAAAAATGTATAAAAAACAAGTATTTTCGGTGCCGTAGGTATATTTAATAGAATTCTCACGCGGCCTCTTTCTCCTTGATAGCCTTCTCAAGGATAGCCTGTTCCTTAGCCTCGCGGGCTGCGTCACCCGTCTCCAACTTCTGACTGATCTGTTCCAGCACTCGTAGTTTCTCTTCCTTTAACTGTAAATTAGATTTGCGATGTTTATCACACAGAGTAGTGTAAAATATTTATTCTACTATATATATATAGGATAGTGAGGGTGCTAAAGAGACCTTTAGCACTGACCTGCATATAATGCTCACCCTTTTTTAGATTCCGCTGCCTAGGCCCATTAGGGACAAGAATTAAAGGATATTCTTAGGAGCGATGGTTTATTTCCTCAGGATAGGCCAGATGCTAAAGAGATCTGTAGCACTACGACCTGCAAAGATCTATTATACTCGCTTTATTTTAGAGTTCGCTGCCTAGACAAAAATTGAAAGATATTCTTAAAAGTGATGGTTTATCTCCTCAGGATAGAGTGTGTACCTTCCAAAGGAGATATTCCGTTAATGCTTGGCTTACAACCATATAGGATGTGTAGTGCCGTGTCGCGAATAGTCACAGTACCTCCCTCTCGGTCCTTTGTCGTTTGTCATTCACACGCGTTCGTTCTCGCTGCAGAACTTCCAGCAGCCGGTCGTCGAGTTGTCCGTGCGCTGCTCGCTCGCGTGCTCGCTGCTCGTTCTCCGCCCGCGAACGTTCCATGTCCCACCAGATGCGGGCCATCTCCTCGGCTTTCTGTTACATCCAATACATCAGAGTTTCATAATTCAGCTAGCTTAAGCACCAAAGTTTAAATATCTAATGCTCATAATTTTAGTCGTGAATAAATTATTAAAGATTTTGTATGAATGCCGCTCGTTGGGACTAGTCTTCTCTAATCGTTAGAGGTCATGATTTGTTTGTTCTTCAAATGTAATATATTACTTGAAAACATTTTGAAATATAGCAAAAATTTACATTTGTTCTTAATTACAAAATTTTAATTCTCAAACCACGAATTAAATAAAGGTTTTTAGTTTTGAGGTACAAAATTCGTTGGTTAAGTCAAGTTAATATAGAAAAGTCAAACATATACCTACCCTCTTAAGCTGCTTAACCACTCTTTCCGCGTTGGTTAATAAGAATACCAGCAAAGTTTCTTACCCATTCTTCTTGACTAATTAGATATTGTGAAAATGACGATAGAGTCAAAAAGGCGGGCATTCAAAAGTTTATTAGAATATTCAAATTTTACTCACGAAATTCTCTTCGAAATCCTTAAGATTAGCCATCTCCTGGTCGGCCCTCATGTTGTCTATCTTCTGCATGTTCAACTCAGTTTCGTATTCAATTCTATTCCGCTCTGCAATTTCGTGTGCCCTGTTGTATGACATTGCAAAGTTATTAAGGACTGTAAGAAGAAGTTACGTTGTACCTTGAGACTCCTTATGGCAACGCAAACAAAAATAATGATACACAATATAAATATCTTACTGCTCCAATATTTCCTTCTGGTGCTGCTTATTGGCGTCAAACCTACGCTTCTTCTTAAGTTCCATCAGCTCGTTCCACTCTTTCGCTTCTTTATTATATCCTCGTCATCCTTTCTTCTGTTCTGCCTCCATCCGTCGTTGTTCCGCATTAAACTTCAGCTGCTCTTGACGTTCCTTCTGGATGACTGTCTCGATGACTGCGCTACAATTTGTAAGTACCAAATATACTGCATATTCACACGAAATGGCTGGTCTTAAAATTGACTAGCAGTCACCCGCGACTTTGTCCGCATGGAATTGAAATAAATAAAATATCTGCGAGGGAAAGTCCCGACAAAATCAGTCCGGCTGTTTCAGAGATTAACAAGAACAAACAGACAGACAAATATGTTTTTTTTATTTATATAACGTGATGGAAAGAATTAGCTGAAAAGATAAAGCAAGAAACGAAGAAGTACTACAAAAGGTAAAAGAAAAAAGGCAGATATTGAATATAGTAGAAAATAGAGGAGGAAAAATGTTGGAACACTTGATACAGCGCGATGATTTTATGAAAATTACTGTTGAGGGAAAAATAGGAGGAAAGAGGGGGAGGGGAAAACCAAGGCATCAAGCAAATTAAAGACAAAATGGGAGTCACTTTTCATTTTATTGTTTGTGATATCCATGTGATAGTGAAGAAAATGACTACTCCGTTCTGTGGTGTTACACATTCCGTGGTTGACAATAAGCTTATTTGTCACTAGCTTTTGTCCGCGGCTTCGCTCGCGTTAATTTACTCCCATAAGGGTGGAATTTATCAAAATCCTTTCTTAGGGGATGCTACGTCATAGTAGCTTTATGCATTCAAAGTCTCAGTCCGATCGGTTTAAAATTGACAAAGTTTCATACAAACTTTCATCACCTATATTATCTCCTTAGGGATGGAATTTATCAAATTACTTTCTTAGCGGATGCCTACGTTATAACATCTACCTGCATGCCAAATTTCAGCCCGATCCGTCCAGTGGTTTGGGCTGTGCGTTGATAGATCACTATGTCAGTCAGTCACCTTTGAGTTATATATATTTAGATTTCCATGATGCGGTACATGCACAAAACAGAAAAGTAAGTTACTTCTCCTTTCTATGGGATCCTCTATAGATGTCGATTTCCACTTTCCATGGTAGACTATCAGACTGTTTCTCATTTCACATCATTACGTAGTATAAAACAAGTAAAGTACAGGAACATAGGGAAAAAAAATATAATGTAGAAACTTGACGTTCATAAGCGGCTAAAATGTCCTACATGAATAAATGATTTTTGAATTTTAATTTGAAAAAAAAGTCGCTGTCGCTGTCTGTCCGTCCCTATGTATGCTTAAATCTTTAAAACTACGCAACGGGTTTTGTTATTTTTATTTAATAGATAGAGAGAATTGCGACTTTGAAGTGGCAATGAGCAGGGCACATAGCTCGTAGGACAGATGGCCGTTGGGGCAGTAAAGTCCTCGAGTGGCGACCACGGACCGGACGACGCAGCGTGGGAAGGCCTCCAGCAAGGTGGACCGACGATCTGGTCAAGATCGCTGGAAGGCATTGGATGTGAGCAGCGCAGGACCGATCGTCGTGGAGATCTTTGGGGGAGGCCTATGTCCAGCAGTGGACGTCTTCCGGGCTGCGATGATGATGATGATGATGAGATAGAGTGATTCAAGAGGAAAGTTTATATATATATAATACATCGTCACCCGAGCGAAGCCGAACCCCATTCTGTGCCATTTCAGTTATTCGAAGCCTTCTCACGCACGCATCCATAAAGTTTATTTTTAGTAGGGTTTCAACGTACCTATCTTGCGATCAACGATTAGATCCAAAAACCCAATTAAAGGCCAGTAGAAGAAGAGTAGCTAGTTACATATAAAAAGATCATCTACCTGAGCAATAGTTTCGGCGCATCCTTATTCTTAAACACAGTGTCCCTAGCGTTGTACATGAGTCGCTGCTGTTCATCCTTCTTGCGCTTTATGTAGCGCTTGTAGAACTTGGTGTTCGCTTGCTCTGCAGCTTCAATCCGAGCGCAGCGTAACTCTTCATTGCGCTTGTTTACATTCTGTCAACAAAGTTGCAATATTTTTTATAGTATAGGAGACAAACGAGCTTACTGCTCACCTGGTGGTAAGTTGAAATCTAATATATCTGTATCAGTTAACTATATAGCACCCATAACACAAGGTTTAGCTAGCTTAACTTGGGTCTAGAATGCGCTGTGTGAATTATTTTGAGATTTTTTATTATTATTTAATAAAAGAATTTGAGAAAGCTTTTTTATAATATAGGCGACAAACGAGCTAGCAGCTCATTTGGTGATTGCGCATGAGCACCCGCAAAACCAGAGGAATTGCAAGTGCAGACTAAATAAGCTATTTTCTTGACGGTTTCAGTATAGTATCGGTTCGGATATATCATCACGTAATTATTATGTAACTATAGGTTTTGAAAATATGTTTTGGTTGAGAAGAGAAATTAAAGGCTACGCGGCAGGTTTCCGTTCAACAGTAATAATAAACTAAGTCTAAGCGAAGCAAAGCTTGCGTTATAGGTATATATCAGTTGTTAGATAAACAACTAATATATATATATATACTTTTTAATATACAATCGATTTGTTTACATAAAAATTTTAAATTAGTATAAAAAGTGAAGTTATGTGTATATATAGTAGATATAGAACCTTAGCTAAGTCCATTTTTGTAACTGTTTTTTTTTTGCACAATAAACTTATTATTATTATATATACTCTTTTTTTGTAAATAAGCATATACATAGATAACACCCAAACCGATGCTATATGCAAACCCAAATCATATTAGTGAATACAAATGTTTGTACCCTGCGTGGAATCGAACCCGCGACGATCGGAAGTAAATCGGTGTGCTAAAAGGGGGGAAGGGGATTGTTAGTAATGTGGATTGATAACCCCATTGCTAGCAATGTACCATGTCAGGTCGACCTCCACGCGGTTCCCCCTGGAAACCATCGTGTTTAATTTCTGGTGAATTTGCACGATGGGCTAACTGACCTGACCTCATGCTCATCCTATCATCCTCCACTGGTGCCCCGCCAGCGTAAACCGTTAGCGCAGGCGGGTGCACCATTCCATTATCAACCCTAAAAAAACCGCTATACTACCGTGGCCGTCAAATGAGTGTCTGTATGTATGTCAAATAACTTGCGGGCACCACTAGTTCAAATATGTTATTTCTACCATCTTAGGTACCTCAACGGAGTTGGGCCATGATTTAGTCATCTCCCTGGAGGTGGTGTCGAGGTATCTAACATACTCTCGCCGCCTGACAGTGTCTGGGTCCTCCCGATCCAGCTCGCTGCAGCGGGTGATGCGGCCCCACTCCTCTTTGCTTAGCGCTATAGGCATTGCTGTTAATGACAAAGATGAATGAGTGAATGAATGAAAAACTCTTTATTGTTCCTCTCACAGAAAGAAAATAACAATTACATACATTAATATAGTACATAAAAAAAAACAACAATAACATTATAGAAGTAACAATGGGCGGCCTTATCGCTAAATAGCGATTCCTTCTAGGCAACCTTATGCTACGTTTACACTCAGCCCGAGTGGGCAGGGAAGTGAGCAGCGCAAGAGTTTAAACACGATACTTCCCATGCTATTGGCGCTGCCACTCGCGCTGCCCGGCACTCCCTCGATTGTCTGTTTTCGTGCGGGATTCAAAGGACTGGCAGCGCGAGTGGCAGTGGAAGTGACTGAATGTAAACGTATCATTAGGATGGAGAGGGACTGTCCAGTCGGGCCATAACAATTATTTAAGTATTATTAAATAAATACAAATTACATATAATAATGATATGATTCTTTTAACCAAAATAATAAGTAAATAAGCTCTTTTGAATAGTCATACTTATTTTTTTAATGTATCGCTGATTCGGAACAAGATCATGCTAATGAATACAAATATTTGCACCGTGCGAGTAATAGAACACGGCAACATCGAAGTAATGTGTTGTGTTATACCTCTAAACTACCGATTTGTCATTAATTGATGAGGCATTATGGACACCATTACATCCTAGTACATATGTTCTATTTTGTTAATATTATTAATTATTACATTTATGCTCATTAAAGAATGAACATAAAACACTAAAAAAGTACGTAATACATTTGCGTGAAGGTAAACGGCAGGCGTTGTACTTTTTACATTAATATTAAACTCCTAAATATAATAGTTTTTGATATAAGTAAGAGATATTGTTCATATAATTTTACCGTGTCTGTCAAACAATAAATAATTATGAAAAATTGCTGTTTGATGTTATATTTCATAAATTCTATTATTAATATTTAATATTGTTAGCAAATAAAGGGTTTTCTAATAATAGTTGACACTGTTTTGCTTTTTTTCTTTCTTTATGATATTCACTGACATTGTTTACGTGTCCTTGTTATAATTCTATCCAACCTATGTTAATTATTAGAGCCTAAGCACCTAATTACCTGATTATTTAGGCTGTATAACTTACTATTTTTGCCTTTTATGCTGCTCTTGTTCTAAAGTAGATGGTAGTTTATGTTATAGGTACACAAAAGAATAATTTTGAAATCAGTAAATAAATAAGTATTTATGCTTTATAGCCTCTTAAAGATATTGCATTGCAAGCAGTGCATTGATCTGCATTGTTGTTGGCATGGAAACAAAATGCTTTCGATGTAGGCACCTATTTCATGTTCAAATAATAAAATAAAAAAGTTCTTGGCACAGAATCCCTAATGTGCTTGAAGACGTCTCATACTTGACATTATTCTATACTAGAGAGTTATTATGTTCGCATTATAATTAATTATTTAAGTACGATACAATTGAATTCATAATGAAAAATATTGAATAGAAATTCAATATATATTTTTTTAATAATTCTTTATTCATGACCACAGACACAAGAACTTCAATTAAACATTTTAATGCATATAAATAACATGAAAATTCAAACAAATTTACCAATAATCCACTACATAAGATTGCATCTTAAATATTCTAATGTTGTCATTATATACATGAACAATGTTCATAACTGTCAATGTCAAAATGTGAAGTGTCACATTGTATGTTTTTCACCAGTTTTGACGTCAGCCACGTTGGAAGTGCCAACTCGCTGTTTTTATGGTAAATATTGCATTTTTCTAATTAAAATGCTGTTTATTGAGTGTAAAAAAATAAAATTCAAAATTTCCTCTATCGTAAAGTTAATATACTCAAAACGGAACTCGACATAGTTTGCTAGTTGTACTCGTAAGAAAAGTGTGACATAATTTAAAAATACTTCGATTTAGTGAGTTTTTCTTGGTTACTAAACTTGTTACAGTGAAATAGTGGCTCTAAGATGAAGTTGAAAGAGTTGAAGAAAGCAGTGAACATTAGCTGGTCGCCAGCGGAACACTATCCCCATATTGTTGGCGGCCGGCTCAGCGGCACAGCAGGTTGATGTTTTCTTTAGTTCAATTCTTGTTTGGAGCTGTACTCCTTGAATCTGGACGATCCTGGACTTGATTTGGAACTGAAGTCCAGTTTACAGACACAAAACAAGTAAGTTGTTTGTTCTATTTAAGAATATTACATGTCATAGATGCTTGTACTTGCTTAGTTATTTTCTAAAACAATGAGAATAAATATAGTGATACACTTTGTGATATACATCTATTCCTGTTTTTGGACAGAAAATTATAGAAGTTTTAAATTTTAATATTAATCTAATACTATTTTTTTATCGTTTGTATATGTTATTTTAAAAGGCAGTTCTTAATGTTATTTTAATTACATACTAATTATTATTAACATTACTATTGTACCGTTTCTTATTTGATGATGCTGTAATAAAATATTACTTCCCAACTCACAGACTCTAGGTCTGTGAGTCTGGAATGTAGATAAACAAAACTAGTGTCCTATAATAGAAGTTTTGTAGATGATTTTACTTATTTTTATTCCATATAATGTCTTGAAGAATTATTTATTCTTAGCAGGATTTTTGAGGAATTAATTATAATGAAATGTACTTAATTTATCTGACTTTGCTTTGGTGGTCTAACAGCTTAATCATACTGCCTTACTTCCAAAGGGTACAAGTTTGATTCCTCACATGATACAAACTTGTATATACATGAGTATGTATTGTTTGTATTGGTCTGGATGTTTTCTGTGTATATTACATATTTACAAAAATAATGTATTTAAGTATTTAGAAAAAAAAGGTATTAAACAACAGATAGATAATCAGTTGTCAATACCAATAACACAAGCACTGCTTAACTTGTGATGAGATGGTGCTATGTGAATTGTTAATTAATGGTTTAGAGTGGATATATTGTAATTTGTGGTTTTCCAGAATATTTTATGCATTGTGTATAAGTAATTTACATTTTATGGTCTTTGTCCCCATCACAAGACTATTAAAATTGTTTAAGGAATTTATTTATCCAAATGGGACCATATAGAAATAAAAAAAATTTGAAAAATATACTTGAAATTATATGGAAAAATAAAACTTAAGTAAGTGAATTTGTTCCATGTCAGAAATTACTAAATGTTCCACACATTTAGACATCTCTGACCAATTAATCTATATATATGAAAATGTATTGCTGTTTGTTGGTCTCGCTAAAACTCGATAATGGCTCAACCGATTTGGCTAATTTTAGTCTTAAAATATTCATGGAAGTCCAGGGAAGGTTTAAATGGTGATAAAATATGAAGAAATTATATGTAAAATAGTAAAAAGAACAATTTTATTTTCCCATACAAACTGCTGATACCTATCAAACAGGGTGCGTTCAGAAATTTATTGCATAAACTTAAAAAACCTTTGACATATTTAATTTTAGGTGGAATGGAGTTCTCATGGTTAGCTAGTTATTTATAAATACATTAATTAAGGAAGGAATTATTAAGAATTAATATAACACTCTCAATGTACCACATTTTATACAATAATAATTCATTTAAATAAAAATGGAACTTAAAATATGGAAAATAAATATAAATAAATATTAAAATTAAATATTATAATCTTTTATTCATGTAGGACACTTTATGTATATTTACTTCTTAGCATTGTCAAATTTTTTACATTATAAGTTTTCCCCTACCAAACAGTTTAGTATAGAGATACAATTGAGAAGAACTGGCAAGAAACTCAATTGAATTACTTTTTTTTCAAAAGCCAGTTGTTTACAATATACATATAGGTGTCTATGTCTAACATTAAATGAAAATCCCGTGCATGAACAACTATTGCCATGCACACTCGTCATTCAAGTAATCATTTAGTGAGTTATTAGAGAGTCTAACTCTCTTTAAGGCTTTGCTTATATAATAATTATATTTTTGAAAAATATGTGTTATGTGGATGTGAAAGCTATAATAATAATAACTTATTTTCTAGATTCCAGAAGATTGTATGGTCCGGTGCAGGGGTCATAGTGGGGGGTTGTGATGGTGGTTTGCTCGAGTTCTACAATGCGGAGAAACTACTTAAAAATAGCAGTGATGCCTTACTCGGCAGTATCACAAAACACAATGGTGAGACATTTTCATTGTATTATATTTACCATATCTTATATATGCACCTCATATATACACATCTATATTAATATTATAAAACTGAAGAGTTTGTTTGTTTGTTTAATTTGTTTGAATTCGCTTATATATTCAGGAATCGGTACTGAACGTCGTTAGTTATTAATTGAAATTTTTAACATGAATGACTGATATAAGGCTCTGCATCATTTTATATTATTTTAGTATGTCAGAAAATAAAAATTTGTAGAAAAATAAATATATTGCATTATATAGTGCAAGTCTTGTCAGAAGAATCTAGCTGCTTCAGAGATTAGCAATAAAAATTCTAGCAGACAAATATATATATATTTTTTTTAATTAACCCTACACATATAAATAAATATAATCTTTATTGAAATAAAAACTTAATATAAGCACTATCCAAATGCAGATATAATAATATAATTTCATTAGCATTCATTTAAAAGCGGTAAATTACAAAAAGACATCAATTTTATTTACTTATACATATATATAAATGATAATTGGTTGCTGGTCAGTTAGTTTACTATTTTTGCACATTCTTCTCGTGATGAGTCTGCTTTAATAAATTTAAGTATTTTACAGATTGTTGCCATTATGTTTGTGAGGAGAAATAATAAATCATATTAAAAAAAAAAAGAATGAAAAAAAAAAAATATGACTATTTCAATTCAAAAGTATTTATGTAAAGTTTATTTGAATAAAGATGATTTCTATTTCTATTATGAATGTACAATAACTCATTCGGTTATCAATTGGTTGCTGGTTAGTTAGATTATTATTCTTGCATATTCTTCTTACAATGAGTCTGCGTTCATAATGAGTGATAGAATAAAAAAATATGACTTTAAATTCAAAAGTGTTTATATTAATTTCATTTGAATAAAGATGATTTCTATTTCTATTATGTATGACACAACTCATTCAGTTACCAGTTACTGATAACCCCTTATCTCCCCACATTGTACTATTTTTTTATGAATGTTTCTATAGTTTGTTTACTAGAAAAGATCAGTATCGTAATGACGAGCGTGCATGGCAATAGTTGTTCATGCACGGGATTTTCAATTAATTAGACATAGACTACCTATATAGAGAAATTGTAAATGAACTGGCTTTTAAAAAAATTCAATTGAGTTTCTAGCCAGTTCTTCTCAATTGGGTCTGGACTGAACTGGACAGTAGGGAAAAAATTGTAATATAAAAAAAAAATCATAAGCGGTTAAAATGTCCTACATGAATAAATGCTATTTGTATTTGAATATCTTATAATGCAAGAAACCTGAATAAGTATTTTTTAGCATTATAAAGTGGAGATTAGAAAATGCTGCTTTTATATGAGCTGATGGCCTCTGTGTTCTAGCGGTTTAGCACACTACCTTACTTTTCGATGGTTGCAGATTCGATTCCTCAAATAGTACAAACATTTTATATTCATGAGTTTGGTTCTTTGTATTGGTTTGTGTGTTTCCAATGTATATTATGTATGTATTTAAAAAAAATACGTTTTTATATCGGTTTTTTAGTACCCAGTAAGAGTTTTTTTAGAAATATTATGTACATATTTACAAAAAAACTGAATCTATGTGCTTCTGTCAGTTGTCTTCAAGTACTCATATCACAAGCTCTGCTTAGCTTTGAACTAGATGGCGTTGTGTGAATTGTCTTGATATATTATTATAGTTCTTGAATGTAATTTAACAGGCAATGTATCAGCACTGGATATCAATCCATACCAGAAGAACCTGCTCGCATCTGGAGCGTCTGAGAGTGAGATCTTTGTGTGGGACCTAAACCACATCAGTCAGCCAATGCCGCCGGGCAACAGAAGCTGTAGCCGTATGATCATGTGCAGGGGTCGCATGGAATCAACAGGTATGTTAATTTATTTATTCATTCATTCATTCACACACTCATTCACTAAATCATTCATTAATCCACATACTCACTCACTAACTCATTCATTAATCCACACACTCATTCACTAACTCATTCATTAATCCGCACACTCAATAATTAATTAATTTAAACCTCTTAATTTCTGAGTACGAAGCTAATTATTTATTCATAAATTGTTTCAAGATGCCTGACCAGCCTTCTCGAGGGAATCTAATGCTGTGCTAAACTGTTGTAAAGCACTCTATTGATGAGACTAACAAGTCATGGAAAACAAAAAAAAATCCATTAGAATTCAAATTTGTACTGAGGTTTTTTTATGTAATTATAATGGTGAACTATTTGACGGCCCACTTTATGTATATATAATTAACGGTCACTTCGCTTATGTACCAGATGTCTAGTGCCTATAACACTATACTTATCTTGAGATTTGATGGCGCTGTGTGAATTGTCCAGGGATACTCGTTCGAGTCGTATAATAATAACAATTATTATTGTAAACGGGATATGTACCGTGACAATATTATTCAAGAACAAATAGAAAAAGAGAATCACTTATTCAAATAAACTTACATCGAAGCGCTTTTGAATAATCGTCCTTTTTTTTTTAATCTACGGCTCATTCGAAAAGTCTTCAACACTAGAAGAACGAGCACGAAACTTACATGTAATTTTACATTTTTAAGTTGAAATGCGTGAATATCTCCCGATATTTTGACGCTGTTTCAAACCTAGTCGTATTGTTGTAAATACATCGTTTCTATAATGTCTATAGTAATGCATACTAATTGATTATTCATACATTTTAGGTTCAACACATTCTAGGTCTGACATTCACGACACGATGCGTCGTATGGGACTTACGGAAGAATGAACCAATCATGAAATTGAGGTATGTGTGTGTTTACTATATATCAATACTTGTATTATTACCTGACACAATTATTGTATGGAAGTTATTTTTTTTTAAGTAAAGGAAAGGTAGGTAGGTAATGAGTGAGGATGTTACAGTGACACCCAGTCCCGAAGCCGCTGGCGCACGTTGGCGTGGCACCCGTCCGTCGCCACGCAGCTCTGCATCGCCTCCGAGGACGACCACGCGCCCGTCATACAGCTCTGGGACTTGAGGTAATATACTCTACTACCTACTCATCTCATTCTACTCTATATATACTACCTGTACCTCATCTCACTTACCGTGCAATATTTTGCAACTTATATATGTAATGTAATATCGTTCGAGTTATACCGAAACTGTAAATTCATAAGTCGTTGGTTCAGATCCGGCTCGAAGGATCAATGTTCGTGTTGTACCGAAACTATAAAAGTTTCTGATAGGTGTTATTGATTAGATGATGCTGTGTGGGTTGTGTTTAGAAGTGTGATTGTGTGGGGGCAGGCTGGCGGCGTCCCCGCTGGCGACGCTGGAGGGGCACCACAAGGGCGTGCTGGCGCTGTCCTGGTGCCGCCAGGACCCCGCGCTGCTGCTGTCCGCCGCCAAGGACGGCCGCCTGCTGCTCTGGGACCCCAACGACACGCAAGCCGTGAGATACCTCGTTCATTCATATACCACGCTCTTACATTTGTGATTTGCCAACAGAAGAACAGAAATAGATTTTAAATTGCTGTTTAAAGTCTATTTCTGTTGGTTTCGTTCCATAATACAACTTTTAACCCTATTAGAAGTCTTGACTTCTGGCTCGCAGACTATAAAGTTAGCGGATTGTTGTAATGTTGATGGTGTAAGTAAACTTGTGGTGCAGGGCGGCGCGCAGCCGGACGGAGTGTGGGCAGCAGCAGCAGTGGGCGCTGGAGGCGGCCTGGAGCCACGCTCGCCCGCACTGCTGGCCGCCGGCGGGGCTGACCTCACCGTGCTGGAGCTGCTGGGCGGACGGGCACCCGCCACGGTCGGTACCTTCCTGTGTCGTACGTACGGAGGCTCGGTAGATGTTTACGTCACTCGTTGCAATTGGAGAGCGATCTTTTCAGTTGCAACTAGTGACGCAAATATTTTAAGACTCTTTGTGACGTGAGTGTTTTGTTTGTACAGAGTAGCGCGGCACAGAGCAGCATCCTAGAGTCATTCGGCGGCGCGCAGTTGGGCTCGCTGCCGGCGCTGGCCGCCGCGCCCCCCGCCCGCGCCGCGCTGCCCCCGCGCGCGCCCGCCTGGCTGCGGCGGCCGGTCGCGGCGCGCTTCGCGGTGAGTACCCCCCCCCCCCCCCCCCGCCCCCGCCGCGCCCCCCCGCCCGCGCCGCGCCGCCCCCGCGCGCGCCCGCCTGGCTGCGGCGGCCGGTCGCGGCGCGCTTCGCGGTGAGTACCCCCGCCCCCCGCCCCCCGCCGCCGCCGCCGGCCGCTCCGCGCTGCCCCCGCGCGCGCCCGCCTGGCTGCGGCGGCCGGTCGCGGCGCGCTTCGCGGTGAGTACCCCCGCCCCCCGCCCCCCGCCGCGCCCCCCGCCCCCGCGCGCGCCCGCCTGGCTGCGGCGGCCGGTCGCGGCGCGCTTCGCGGTGAGTACCCCCGCCCCCCGCCCCCCGCCGCGCCCCCCGCCCGCGCCGCGCTGCCCCCGCGCGCGTCCGCCTGGCTGCGGCGGCCGGTCGCGGCGCGCTTCGCGGTGAGTACCCCCGCCCCCCGCCCCCCGCCCCCCGCCGCGCCCCCCGCCCGCGCCGCGCTGCCCCCGCGCGCGCCCGCCTGGCTGCGGCGGCCGGTCGCGGCGCGCTTCGCGGTGAGTACCCCCCGCCCCCCGCCCCCCGCCCCCGCCCCGCCCCCGCCCGCGCCGTTGCCCCGCGCGCGCCCGCCTGGCTGCGGCGGCCGGTCGCGGCGCGCTTCGCGGTGAGTACCCCCCGCCCCCCGCCCCCCGCCCCCCGCCGCGCCCCCCGCCCGCGCCGCGCTGCCCCCGCTCGGGTCCGCCTTGCTGAGGCGGCCGGTCTCCGCGGGCTTCGCGGTGAGTACCCCCGCCCCCCGCCGCGCCCCCCGCCCGCGCCGCGCTGCCCCCGCGCGCGCCCGCCTGGCTGCGGCGGCCGGTCGCGGCGCGCTTCGCGGTGAGTACCATGCCTCGGTGGAGCATGCCTCGATGTGTCCGCTGCGACTGTCGCGTCAGCGTCTTCACCGCCGACCGATACGATGGGCCACGTAGGCTGAATTAAATAAATAAATAAAACAATATGTTGTCAACAGTTCGGCGGCAAGCTGGTGACGTTCTGTGCGAGCGGGCCGGAGGCGGGCGCGGCGGGCGCGGTGCGTGCGGTGCGCGTGTGCGTGGCGGCGTGCGAGCCGCAGCTGGCCGCGCGCGCCGCGCCGCTCGACGCGCTGCTGGCCGCCGACACCGCGCACCACGCGCTCGCTGAGTGAGCACTCTATCTAAATATTTACATACTCACCGCGCTGCTGGCCGCCGACACCGCGCACCACGCGCTCGCTGAGTGAGCACTCTATCTAAATATTTACATACTCACCGCGCTGCTGGCCGCCGACACCGCGCACCACGCGCTCGCTGAGTGAGCACTCTATCTAAATATTTACATACTCACCGCGCTGCTGGCCGCCGACACCGCGCACCACGCGCTCGCTGAGTGAGCACTCTATCTAAATATTTACATACTCACCGCGCTGCTGGCCGCCGACACCGCGCACCACGCGCTCGCTGAGTGAGCACTCTATCTAAATATTTACATACTCACCGCGCTGCTGGCCGCCGACACCGCGCACCACGCGCTCGCTGAGTGAGCACTCTATCTAAATATTTACATACTCACCGCGCTGCTGGCCGCCGACACCGCGCACCACGCGCTCGCTGAGTGAGCACTCTATCTAAATATTTACATACTCACCGCGCTGCTGGCCGCCGACACCGCGCACCACGCGCTCGCTGAGAGAGCACTCTATCTAAATATTTACATACTCACCGCGCTGCTGGCCGCCGACACCGCGCACGCGCTCGCTGGTGAGCACTCTATCTAAATATTTACATACTCACCGCGCTGCTGGCCGCCGACACCGCGCACCACGCGCTCGCTGAGTGAGCACTCTATCTAAATATTTACATACTCACCGCGCTGCTGGCCGCCGACACCGCGCACCACGCGCTCGCTGAGTGAGCACTCTATCTAAATATTTACATACTCACTTTTGCCTGCGGCTTCGCTCGCATTAATTTATCCCCTTAGGGGTGGAATTTATCAAAATCCTTTCTTACGGGATGCTCACGTCATAGTAGCGTATGCGTAGTAGTTTATGCGTGTGAAGTCTCAGCCCGATCGGTTTGAAATTGACAAAGTTTCATACGAACTTTCATCCCCTATTTTATCCCTTTGGGGGTAGAATTAATCAAAATCATTTCTTAGGGGATGCCTACGTCATAACATCTACCTGCATGCCAAATTTCAGCCCGATCCGTCCAGTGGTTTGGGCTGTGCGTTGATAGATCACTATGTCAGGCACTTTTGCGTACAGACAGTTCAGTGGGCTAACGGCTTCGGATGGTGACGGGTTCAGTTCTTCGCACGATACGAAATTTGTATACAAAAGTATAGAATTTTTTTATGCACTTTATGTATATTATTTACATAATTAACCGGGTCTTAACACGAATAATTTTATGGCAAATAAAGGTATTTACCACAACTAAGTTACACTAGTAGTCACGAGTCAAAACGTCAGAGAGGTAAAAACTTCATTTGCATTAAAATTATTCGTTTATAAGAATATATATTATATAACACAAAAGTTTTTAATACATATCAAAAACTTCGTAGGTATCTCAGTCGCACCTTCTTCAGCCACCAAACAGCTTGCTTTGTAAGCTGTATTCGGTCTCACCTACTTCAGCCACCAAACAGCTTGCTTTGTAAGCTGTATTCGCTTGTAGGGTGCAGTGATCAGTGAAATTACAAAATAGAGGCATGATATCTTACTTTTCTGGATTTTCCACGG